GCAGAGCCCAATGTGGGGCTCAAATCCATGAACTATGAGATTATTACCTGAGACAGAATCAGACACATAATGGACTGAGCCATCCAGGGACACCCTTCAACGAAAATTTTTAATTTTCATGATGTCCAAATCAGATATTTTTTATTTTGTTTTGTTTGCTTTGGGTTTCTAATACAACAAGTCATTGCCAAATCCAATATCATGAATTTTACCTATAGTTTTCTTCTCTGAATTTTGTAGATTCAGCTCTCACATTTAGGTCCCTTCTTCCAATTTGAGCTCGTGTTTCTATATGGAGTAAGGTGAGGGTTCAACTCCCTTGTTTGCATGTAGATATCCAAGTTTCCCAGCATCTCATGTTGAAAAGATTACTCTTTCCCCCATTGAATGGTCTGCCGCTCTTGTTGAAAATATTTTGACCACATATGTGAGGGTGTTTATTGCTTGGCTCTCTATAATCTTCCATGGTTCTATCTCTCTGTTCTTTTCAGTACTAGATACTCTAATTATTATACTATGTAGTAGGATTTTAAATCAAGAAATGTGAGGTTTCCAGCTATGTTCTTTTTCAGGACTGTGTGGTGACCTGGGTCCCTTGAGACAGCATATGAAGTTTAGAATGGGCTTTTCCATTTATGAAAAAAAAAAAAGCCATAGAGATTTTGATAGCAGTTGTATTTAATCTGTGGATCACTCTAGGTAATAATGGCATCTTAACAGTATGAAGTCTTTCAATGCATGAACAGGGGAACTTTTCTCCTGTTTTTTATTTGTCTTCTTTCATTTCTTTCAACAATGTTTTATACTTTTCGGTATAGAAGTCTTTCATCCCCATGCAGAAATTTATTCCTAAGCATTTTATACTATTTGATGTTATGGTAGGTTAAAATGTTTGCTAGTTTCCCTTTTGAATAGTTCACCATTAGCTAGTAGAAATGCACTTGATTTTTAGGGTGCCTGGGTGGCTCAGTCGATTAAGCGTCTGACATCCGACTACAGCTCAGGTCATGATCTCACAGTCCGGGAGTTCGAGCCCCATGTCATGTCAGTCTCTGTGCCAACAGCTCAGAGCTGGAGCCTGCTTCAGATTCTATGTCTCCCTTTCTTTCTGCCCGTCCCCCACTCATGTTCTGTTTCTCTGTCTCAAAATAAAGAAATACTAAAAATATTTTTAAAAAACAAGAAATGCACTTGATTTTTGACTGCTGATATTGGTTTTATTTTTCCTCTAAGATTTTATTTAAATTCAAGTTAGTTAGTACCCAGCATAGTCTTGGCTTCAGGAGTAAAAACCCAGTGATTCAGCTCTTTCATATGACACCCAGAGCTCATCCTGAAAACTGATCTCCTTAATGCCAATCACACATTCAACCCATCACCGTGCCACCTATCTCCCCTTCAGCAACCCTCAGGTTGTGTTCTGTATTTAAGAGTCCCTTATGGTTTTCCTCCCTCTCTCTTTTTACATTATTTTTCCTTCCCTCACCCTTATGTTGAGATTCTTGAATTCCACATATGAGTGAATTCATTTTGTATCTGTCTTCCTCTGACTGACTTATCTCACATGGCATAATACTCTCTAGCTCCATTCATATTGTTGCAAATGGGAAGATTTCATTCTTTTTCATCACTGGATAATATTCATATATATTGTATTATAGTAGGTAGTATGTATATTATATTTTAGTATACAGTATATAGTGTATCTTAGCATATTATATATATATATATATATAGTATTATACACATTATGTGTATATATATATATCACATCTTCTATATCCATTCATTAGTTGATGGATATTTTGGTTCTTTCCTTAACTTGGCTCTTGTTGACAGTGCTGTTATAAACATTGGGGTTCATATGCATCTTCAAATCACAATTTTGTATCCTTTGGATACATACCTAGTAGTGCAATTGCAGGATCATACGGTACTGCTATGTTTAATTTTTTAGGTACCTCCATACTGTTTTCTAAGGTGGCCACACCAGTTTGCATTCCCACCAACAGTGCAAAAAAAGTTCCCCCTCTGCTGTTTTTCTTTCACGGTTATTTATATTCGGTACAGAGATACTAGTCCATTTTATTTCCTTCATTCTTCTAGTTTCTGGTTTATTTTTCCTCTTCTTTTTCTGACTTCTCAAGGTGTATTGTTCTTAATCAATTTGTGATCTTTCCTCTCTTTAAATGTAGGCATTACAGCCATAACCTTACTTCCAGAGCTGCTTTCACTGCAGATTGTAGGTTTTGGCAAGTTGTGTTTCCATTTCTGTTCATCTCAAAGTGTTCTGTATATTCCATTGTGATTCCTTTTTGCTTAGCTTTTGATTTTTTAAGAATCAGTTGTTTTATTTCTGTATATTTGAAAATGTTCAATTTCTCATTCTGTTGTTGATTTCTCATATTATTTCACAAACTATTTCACCAGTTCACTGCTGGAAAAGTCTTTCTTCCTGATTCCAGTAAGTTGCCTACTTCTCAGCCTGTGTAATGATGGCTCATGCAAAGGTTTTTTATAGTAACTGCTTTTGGATATAAGTCTGGGGATACATATGTGGTAGAGAGAACAATGCCACCCCCCTAAAGAAGTCCATTTATAACACCCAGGACCTGTGAATAGGTTTGTCTTATATGGCAAAATAGATATTGCAGAAGTAATTAACTGAAGACTATTAAATGGGAGATTATATCTTTGATTATCAAAGTGGCCCAAATGTATTCGCAAGAGTCTTTATAAGAATGAGGTAGGGAAGTCAAAGTTAAAGAAGGACAGGTGACAAGAGAGGAAAGAATTTGGAATGACTGGAAGATGGTAAACCATGAGAAAACAATTATGGGCTGTTACTAGAATTTGAAAAGACAAAGACCATAACTCCAGAAAAACTGCAGCTCAGCTCACCCTTGATATCAACCCAGCCACACCAATTTTGGACTTCTGAACTCAAGAATTATAAGAAAATAAATTTCTGCCAGTTTTGACATTAAGAGTTTTAAAATTTTTATTTAAATTCATGATAATCAGACAATTAAAAAGTATACCCGTTAATACCAGGAGAAGATAGTGTTGTCAGGCTGAGTTACCTTTGAATATTGTCATTATGATACTGGGTCAAATTATTTTAGGAAGGATCTCATAGTAACTATCCAAATTTCTGTCATATAGAAATGCTGATCAGCTTCTATATTTAAATAGTGAGGATTAGTGCAAAACTAATCCTGCATTAGTGCAAAACAACACAGTCATTATTAATAACCAGGATAATTTAATATTAAGACATGCACTTTCAATATTTTTTGATATTGAAAATCTTTGATAAAGAGCAGTCCTTTCTTTTTTTTTTTTTTTTTTACAAATAGTTTATTGTCAAATTAGTTTCCACATAACACTCAGTGCTCAACCCCACAAGTGTCCTCCTCCATGCCCATCCCCCCTCCCCCCCACATCCATCCGTCCTCAGTTTTTGTCAGCATTCAAGAGTCTCTCATGGTTTGCCTCTCTCCCTTTCCCCCACCATGGAATACTACATGGCAATGAGAAACAATGAAATCTGGCCATGTGTAGCAACATGGATGGACCTTGAGGGTGTTATGCTGAGCGAAATAAGTCAGGCAAAGAAGGGCGGAAATGGTGAGAGCAGTCCTTTCTTAATGGAAGTTCCAAGAAATGAAAATCTCATCCTTTGTTGTCTGATCAATTTACATTCAGCTATTTCTTTTCCCAAAGACCTCTTGTGTGATTTTTTGGGGGCAGAAATGTGTTTCATTGTTTTTTTGCATAAAAGATTTAATATTTACATCAAAATGCAATAAAGCAAATTCAATAAATGTTTGTTGAATTAAATTAGAAGACATATACATATGCTATTTGTATGTGCACACCTTTGACTGAATGTTCCATTTTGGTTATTACTGTTTATCTTAGTCAAATCTCTGCATTAGCTGCATTAATTACTAAATGAAAAAACACTGTATCTTTTACAAATAAAAACTTAGTAATCAGATTTTAAGAGTGTAACAAAATTCACATGATCCTAATAAATAGAATATTGAGACAAAAAATTCATGATAGCAAACACATAGTGTAATAGTGGTTTCAGGAGTCGAATTTAGTGATTCATCACTGACATATGACACCCAGTGCTCATCAGAACAAGTGCTCTCCTTTGTACTCACCCCATTTAGTCCATCCCTCACCCACCTCCGTACACCACACCTCAGTTTGTTCTCTATCATAAAGGGTCTATTATGGCTTGTTTCCTTCTCTCTTTTGCCACTTGTCACATATGTTGCTCTGTTTTGTTTCAGATGTAGTACACACACACACACACACACACGGTCACACACACAGAGCCATTAAAGTTTTAAATAATGTGTTGCAATTGCATTCGGAAACTAAAATGATTATGATATGAGAAAAACCATGCAGTTTTTTCAAAGAATGCTTTACTTCTCACTTAAGTACATGTTTATTGTGTGTTGAAAGCTCTGCCCAACTCTGCCACTCAGTTATCCAGGCCGATGGAACAAACCCCAGCATGTACATGTGCTTGTGGAGGAGGAAAGTCGATCCATAGAGGGTTCTGGAAGTTAAATGCACAGCCCAGAAAACTAATCCATCACTGTAACTCACACACAATGGTCTAAAGAAGTCTCATGGTCCTACTGATGCAAAGGTTCAGAAAGTGTAACACCAGAAGGCGCCAGACAGTAGACACGCAGAGTCATTTGGGGAAGCACAGGGCTTTCAGAGAGGGCTGAGGCACTCCCTCCTGCCGGGTGCCACTTCACTCAATCTCTCTGTGGTTTAGTGTCCTCAGCTGTAATAGGGTCCCGTGTTCCAGGCTCATCGTGTGGGTTACATGCCGTGTACATGCAGTGTGCTGAGCTTAGGCTCACTCACGGTGTGCACGCAGGCGATGAGAGCTGTGGTGGATAAACACCTAGGAAGACAGACAGGATCACACAGGATGAGAAACACCTGCTTTGTGTTCCCTCCAGGTGTGGCAGGTGAAGCGGAGCTGCAGGTGATCCAGCCTGAGAGGTCGGTGTCTGTGGCAGCCGAGGAGACGGCCACTCTGCGCTGCACTGTGACCTCCCTGCACCCCATCGGGAAGGTGGAGTGGTTCAGGGGGACGGGGCCAGACCGGGAGTTAATCTTCAGTTTCCGAGGAGGATACCACCCACCGTCTCGAGTAATAAATGTTGCAGACGCCACAAGGAGAAACAACACGGACTATTCCATCCGCATCAGTAATATCACCCCAGCAGACACGGGAACCTACTACTGTGTGAAGTTCCAGAAAGGGACCCCTGATACGGAGTTTAAGTCTGGACCAGGCACCCAGGTCACCGTGAGTGGTGAGTGTGGTGTGGGCTGCCTTCATCCCCTGGTTGTGACAACAAGTCAATAAGAATGCCCTCCACTGTCTGAGCAACAGATAAGGATCAGGCACTGTGGTAGGTGCCCCTGAATCAGCCCCTTCCATGGTTCAGGGAAATTGAGACCTAAGGAGCTTGTGCTATTTGCTCTATGATCCACGGTTGGAAAAGAGTGGGAAAATCTACACTCCAGTATGTTGGTTCCCCAGTTCTTCCCTTTTCCAATCCTATCAGTTCTCTGGGGCCAGGGATGAGGGATTGAAAGTCTGAGTGACTTGCCCAGTTACAAGGCCTTATCTCACCCCTGCCCCCAGTCAGCACTCACATCTTGTGGCCAGTGTTCTCTCTACTCAGCACTTACTAAGCACCTGCTGTGTGCAGGCTCTGCTCTGGGTGCTGTGGGAGAAGCAGGGAACAAAACATGCAAGGCCTCCTCACTCATGAAGCTTACGTCCCCCTCCCTCCTGTGAGGACAAGTGCACCCAGCACAGGGAGGGGGAGATGAGCTTCCTTATAAACAGCCAGGATATCACAGGGGGAAGGGACACAGAAGCCCTGGTTACTCTGCCGCCCCTGGTAGAAGAGATGCCAGATGTTGGTCACTTCCTGTGTGTCTGGTCAGAAAATGTTCCTGTGATTTAGGGACTGACTCTCACAGTAGCAAATGAGTCTCCTCATACCCCCAGACATAGGGAGGAAAGGTGGCTGATCCTGATTGTGCAGGTATTATAGAAGGTCCCAGTGGTATGTCCCTTGCCTGGTCACCACAGCTGTATGAGGCTCCACCGCCAGGCAGATCTGTATCGTCTGCCCACCCAGATGATGCCCTGGATAAGAACGGATGGAGACAGAGGGACCAGGGAGGACCTCAGGCCACACGCTGTGTTTTCATCATGGCAGCAACTCAAATCATCAGTGGGGAGGGCCTATTTCTGCCCATTTTACAGGTTGGTCACTGAGGCCAGGGCACCTGACCTCACCGGGCAGAGGCGCCAAGATTGAACCCCGAGCATCCTGACTCACAGTCCTGCTCTGTGCAGTCACTGTGCTAGTCAACATGGAGAGAGCCCCAAGTCTCTCCTTGAAAATCTTGCATTGTTCTGTTCTTGAGCACTAAGCATTAACAAAACCAAGTCGTTAGATGAGACAGGGCTAGCATTACACCCCGGATCAGACAGACACACAAACGTCTCACCAAGTGTGAGCCTGTTTCTGGAGGACAGGGCTGTACGTTTGGAAGAGCATCTGGAGTCTTTCCCTGTTGTGGGATGTTGCTCTTTCACTGAGCACCTGGGGTGGGGGCCTGGGGAGAGCGCAGGGGCCCCCACAATCCCAGAAACACAACCCAGGAACCCCATTCGAGGCTCTGCAGACAGAAAATGACAGGGAGTTCTGTGAGAAAGAGTTCATTTTCTAGACTCAGCTCTCCAGATTCCATCCATTACCTCTGTTGCTACAGGGTCCGCAGCTCTGGACACCTGCAGGGACCCTTCCCAGAACTGCCTGCAGTGGAGAGTCCCAGAGGGAAAAAGAGGGTGGCAGTCACTGTTGGCTCTAGAAAATTGAGCACTTGTTCTGTTGTGATGAGAAGGCTGAAGGCCACCAGAAGTCCCCCTGGGATGCAGTCCAGGGAGAGAAGCAGCCCCTTGTTTCTCTCAGACTCAGTCTCCTCAGTGTAAAATGGTCATAATCGCAGACTCCTCTTAGGAGAGCTGGAAGGAACTGAGGGGCTCTGTCTGCATACCGGCATACAGGAGGTGGCCCCATTCCAGATGTTCCTTCCCAGTTTTGACACAGCTCCCTTTTCTGGGTTCCATTTCCTCACCTGTAGCACAGGGATCATTGCACCAGCCTTGGCAGGACGTTAGGGGGACACAGTGAGCCGTGTGAGAGGACAGACCCTCAGTGAGCCCTGAGTGCCCCTCCCAGGCCTGTCTGATCCTGGGCTAGTCTCAGTGTCTCTGAGGTCCTCCGTGTCCCATCTGTGCCGTGGAGATAATCGGGCTGCTGGTCAGGGGTCTGAGGTTTGGAGAGATGGTCCAGAAAGCCCCAGATGTGGGGGGTAGGTGATTCTTGAGTGTCGACATGCAGCAACTGAGAGCGTGGCTGATCCTACCCACTAGGCTCCCAACCAACTCTGCCTTCCTGACTCTATGACCTCTGCTGAGTCATCCCACACTGGGCCCTGTGTCCTTGTCTGTCTGTGACCACACGACCCACAGAGCTGCTGCAGGGACTGAGTGAGAGAATGCACATAAGGCACTTTCTACAGAGCTTGGCACATGGTCAATGTCTCTTGAATGCTGGGACGCACCAGGGCCCCCAGCACAGTGCAGGCACAGGGATGAAGGAGCTGAGAGGTAGGATGGGTCAGCCTAGCATCGGGGGTACAAGACACTCGATACATCTAATCACATCTTTGTCCTTCTAGGGGTGTCTGGACAGCTGACCTTTGTACGACTTGACTTACACTAGTGACACCTCCTTCTGATTTCCTCAGTATGTTTGATGTGCTTTAAAAAGGAAGTTATATATTCACAATTACACATACCTATAATATGTGCCCTCTGCTGACCATTACAGAAGGTATTGGGAAATAATGACACACTGGAAACACCCTACCAGGACTTTCTATGAGTGAAATGCCCTCCCATTTGAGTCAATGATGTGTGTGCTTCCAGGACACAGAAGGGCTTCCACCTGCCCTGTTGGCCGGTGTCTCTGTTCTTTAAATATTTCACAGTTAAGAACTTAACTACCAGTGTAGCCACTCTGGAAAACAGTGTGGAGGTTCCTCAAAAATTAACAACAAAACTCCCCTATGACCCAGCAATAGGACTGCTAGAAATTTACCCAAGGGATACAGGAGTGCTGATGCATAGGGACACATGTACCCCAATGTTCATAGCAGCACTCTCCACAATAGCCGAAACATGGAAAGAGCCTAAATGTCCATAACTGATGAATGGATCAAGAAGATATGGTTTATCTATACAACAGAATACAAATTGGCAATAAGAAGGAATGAAATCATGCCATTGGCAGCAACATGGATGGAAGTCGAGGCTATTATGCAAAATGAATAAGTCAGTCAGAGAAAGACAGACACCATATGTTTTAACTCATATGTGGAACAAGTGAAACTTAATAGAGGACCATAGGAGAGGGGGGGAGGGGGAAAATAGTTAAGGAGAGGGAGAGAGGCAAACCATAATAGACTCTGAAATACTGAGAACAAACTGAGGGTTGATGGGGGTGAGGAGAGGGGGAAATGGGTGATGGGCATGGAGGAGGGCACTTGTTGGGATGAGCACTGGGTGTTGTATGGAAACAAACTTGATAGTATATTTTTAAAAAAAGAAGAAGCAGAAGAACTTAACCACCACTGATATCGCAGCACTCGGTGATCTTGGTTTTCAACCTGACACTGACCCAAAAGAAGAAGCAGAATCACTAAAACAACCCTTCATGCTTCCTCTCAGACTCAAGAATGGTGTAGATTAGACCCTATGGAATATTCATGGAAAGATTGAAAAATTGAGTAAATTCATAAATTCTTGAAGAGAGATCCAGGCAAAATTAAGTTTAGGATGAAGATAGATCTGACTTTATTTTGGTTCTGAAAGCATTTTCAGTGTTACATTCAAAGCAAAACTGCATTGCGTGCCTCTCACTCCCTCACGGGAAGGAGAAAGGCTGGCTGTCCCATCTCACAGGGGGGACTGGGCTGTGTCACCCCACACTTCCAGGTGGCTGGGCACCAGGTGACGGCTGTCGTGGGGGTCCAGGTCTCACTAGCTCCATGTCCCCACCCCTACACCTACTGCTGCACACGCTCTCCAGAGGCGGGAAGGAGTTTGGGGAGGCAGCTCAGAACGGTGGAGACCAAGAGTGACATCCACCAGAAATGTCCTTCCTGTGCCCAATGGGTGGGAAGTCCCCTGGCAGGGACGACAACGGGGACCTGGAACTCAGGCTGGAATTGCCCGTGGGCCCTGCCCCCGACTCCTGGTCAATCTCTGACCCCGCCCTCCCAGCACTATCAGAAGGGCTGAAAAAGAATCCGTGTGACATTCTGCACAGTGTCACACACCTGTCGTTGGGGACGATGACCACGGTCGTGCTTACTCGTCATAAATGCTCCTCTCGTAGCCAAACCCTCTCCCCCCGTGGTGTTGGGCCCCACGGCCAGGGTCGCGCCCCAGCAGCCAGTGAGCTTCACCTGCGAGTCCCACGGCTTCTCCCCCAGAAGCGTCACCCTGAAATGGTTCAAAAACGGGAACGAGCTGCCAGCCTCCCGGACCACCGTGGACCCAGAGGGAGACAGCGCTTCCTACAGCGTCTCCAGCAGCGCCACGCTGGTGCTGGCCCCGGGGGACGTCCGCTCCCAGCTCATCTGCGAGGTGGCCCACGAAACACTGCAGGGGGGCCCTCCTCTTCGTGGGACGGCCAACCTGTCCGACACCCTGCGAGGTATCTGCCCGTCACCCCCAGCCCAAGCCCACGCCGGGCCCCCAAGCCTCCCAGCCTGCCCCTCCCCCACTCTGTGCTCCCAGCCTTCCACCCCCTGGATCCTGATTCCTGACAGACCCTCCCCATCACCGGGCACCCAGAGTCACAGTCACCTCCTACTGTTTTATATGGCAGATTCCAGGTGAACCCCTACCACACACCAAGCACTGTGCTAGATATTTGATTTACCTACCCCTAGCCATTCCACTAATTGAGCACCTACTGTAATCCAACCACTGTGTGCTTGGTGATTTCATGTATTTTGCCAGTTATTCTATTCCAACTCATGACCAGGGCTCTGTATCTTGATTTCACTCATTACCAGTCCTTTAACACCTACTGTGTACTGGACAGTATGTTAGGGATTTCATACACATGCAAACACTACCCTCACTGTTTGAGTACCCGCTGCATGCCTAGTTCTGGGTGATTCCCTTGCTGTGTGGGGGGAACTAAGATCTCGAGCCCCTCCCCAGTGATGTGTCTGTTTCATGAGGACAGAGGTTCTGCTCTGTGTTGTTTCAGTTCCACCCACCGTGGAGGTTGCCCAGCAACAACCCACGACAGGGGACCTGGTGAAGGTCACTTGCCAAGTAAAGAAGTTCTACCCCCAGCACCTCCAGCTGACCTGGTTGGAGAATGGAAATGTGTCACGAACAGAAACGGCCTCCTCGGCCTTGAACCTCATAGAGAACAAGGATGGGACCTTTAACTGGATGAGCTGGCTCCTGGTGAACGTATCCGCCCACACGGAAAATGTGGTTCTCACCTGCCAGGTGCAGCATGACGGGCAGCCCGCGGTCACCAAAAACCATACCCTCATGGTCTCTGCCCAGCAGAAGGACCAGGAAATACTTGCAACCCATGGTGAGGCCAACATGCCAACTGACCAAGCACTTCACATATTTTATTTTCTTTTCTCATGTTAGAAGCAGTAATTCATGCCTATAATAAAATAAACTAGAAGTCTATAGTTAAAAAGTAGAATTTTGATATGAGCTTCCCTCCCCAAAGATCCTGCTCCAAGAGTGACCATTGATACGATTTGGGTACATATCTTTTTAGATCTTTTGACATAAACATGCATTAGAGAAAGAAAGAACAGCTTGAGGGAGATGATTCTGTTGCTAGCATCCTGCCTCCTGTGCCTTCACTCGACAGTCCAGCCACTCCCTCTTTCTATTCTTTCTCACCTGGGCCTAAAATCTAGCCCTCTTCTACCTTTCTATCACCCCAGCACCTGTCAAATTCTGGAAGAGAACTCTGAGGATGGAGTTTTGAGTCTGGACTAGGCTCCCAGGTGACCTTGGGTGCTCATAGCACAAGCCACTTTTGTCCCCTGCTTTATGACAATAGATCAGCAATAATCAAGATTACTCACTATACATTTATTTGATGCCAATTACAGTTCGTTTCTGATTTCTTCCTACTTCAACCACCCTGGGAGCTTGTAATTTTACAGAAGGGACTCAGGGAGCAATGGGGGACAGATGGTGAAGATGTCCTGCCCTTAGTCCAGCTGATGGGCTAAACTAGCCAAGGGATGCCTGATCCGTGAGGACAGGGACCACCAGCCTCTAGAACAAATATGTGTTAGATATAACAGCTGGGCATTACCCAAGGACCTAGAGAGTCCCCTTTCTATGACCAATTCATATCGTATTTCTCTCTCATGTAACGTCAAGAGGAGTTTGAACCATGTTTCCAGGAGTTTTTGCTCCAGAAGTTTTTTCAAAGGCCCATTTGCTTCCAACATACCCTAGGACTTAGTCCTCATTGCTTGGTCCACACTGGGTCATCGAGTGTCCATAACCCGCCTACTAGGAGAGTAGAGATAGGGAGGGGAGAACAACTTCTCTTAAAACTAGAGGTATTGCATGATTGTGTCCAATAATGACTTTGTCATGGATGCACATCCAGTTGCAAATGCATCCAATAATTGTGTAGTCATGTGATTAAGGACTTTGGTTTTTCTACAAAACCAATACCATTACACACTTTGTAAAAGTAACAGTAACTCTCTACTATCAGGTAAAATGGAACCTATATTCAAATTTTGCAAAATGTCTCCTAAGACTTTATTTTGTGCACCAAACGTGGTTTTATTTCATCTCTAAATGCTTTGAGAAACCTTCCTGTGAAACCACAAGGAACTCCACAATCCTTTTTTTTTTTTTTTTTATAAGAAGAAAATCTGAATAGCTATGGCCACTCAAATATTCATTTCATGTTGGATGCCTGTGACAGGTTGTGCTTTTAAGGAAGCTGGTCTATTTTCTCTGAGTTGTCCAATTTCTACACATAAAGTGTTCATAATATTACCTTGATAATATCTGTAGGGTCTGTAGTGATATCCTATTTCTTTCCTGAAATTGGAAATATTTCACTTTTTTTCCTTGTCAGAATTTCTAGAATTCTTTCAATTTTATTCATTATTTCCACAAAGTCACTTTTGTGGTTTTTTAAAAAAATTTCTCTATTGTTTGTTTTCAATTCCATTGTTTTCTCTCCTCTTTTCATCCCCATTTTGCTTGATTTGGGTTTATTTTGCTCCTCCTCATTTTGTGAAATGGGACTAGGATTATCGATACTAGTCCTTCTTTGTTTGAATGCCACACCTGGACTTACCTCTGTGCTTGGGGAGTCAGTAGATGGAGCCGGGGATATCTGGTGCTGTATTCTTCCAGACTGCAGGCGTCCAGCCTGCCTGCCTCCCACTTCCACCTTTCAGAGTCCTCCTATTCTTGGACCTCATGTCATTTTCAGGAGTCAGTCTTGTACTGAACCAGGAGAGCAGGAAGAGACACATCAACACCTCCTCTTCTGGACTGGATTGGGCTAGGATTTTCGTCTTTGGCCTTGCACTGGAGCTCATACTAGGGATGTTACTCCTGGTGCTTCCAGTGTTCCTGAACTAGCAGGTTTGCTAGTGTGCTAAGACTGGAAATGAGTATAGGGTTCTCTGGGTTGGAGGGCTGAATGCCACCGTGGCCCTGCTGCACCAGGATGCCAGACCCTCTACTGAGCATCACAGGGCTCTAGTCACTGCTATCAGTGGTCCAATGAGTTGGAATAAGAATGCACATCTTTTTGTTCATGTTTATGGTTTGGAGGTATTTTATTATACTTCTACTTTAATAAACATCTGATTTCTCAGTCTAGAATAACCAGCTATGTTACTGAGGTTGGATAGCTGGTTTGGGCATTTGGAGGAGAGAGTTCTGAGTCCTCAGATCATTCAGGTTCTTCTTTCAGGATGCTAAGTTTGCCTGTCCTGGTTTTCCTTCTTCCGTTCACCACTCAACTTGGAAACAGCACCTCTTCCATCTTTTTTCCTTTCCCCCAAACTTATGCATTTTAAATCATTCCGACTTCCTTTATGCACATCTGTCTTTTTAAAATGCCCCTGCCTTCCTGTATCAGGTTCCTATTGCTGCTGTGATAATTAGCAAACACGTAGTGGCTTAAAACAACACACATTCTTTTTCCTTTCATTTCTAGAGGCCAAAAGTCTACGATGAGTTGGCAGGCTGCATTCCCTCTGGGGGAACTATGGTAGAGTTGTGTCCTTGCTGTTCCACTCCTAGGGTCCTCTTCCAGACTACCCTCTGCTGCGGTCAATATGCCTCCTGCACCCACTCCTCTGCCTCCCTCCTTCACTTATAAAGTTCTCTGTGATTACATTGGCTCCATTTTGAGCACCCAAGAGAATGACCCACTCCAGACCATAGCTAGTTACCACACAGTCTACCTTGCCATGAAAGGGACCAAATATTCATGGGCTCTGGGAGATCTGGGCCAACCATCTTAAGTCAGGCATACTTTGAAACTATTTTTTATGATCTGTGTCCTGACGTGCAGGACACATTTCTAATATATTCTCATTTAAGCAGGATTTCATATTGGCAGTGGGATTTCTAAAAAAACTCTCAGGCTACTTGGCTTGCTGCCCTTGTCCTCTTTGCCTGCCCTTTCCTGCGGCTCGTGAGGACCGGCAGTGGCATAAGGGATTGTGCTTTGGATTTGGTGATTTTCCTCTTCTGTCTCCCAGAGATTTTGCAGTTTGGGATTGCTCTTCAAGGACTTCTGAGAGCCATGTTTCCATAGAATTTACTCTCCTTTTATTGCATTCTCTTTGCATTCAGAAGCTGTATTCAGAGCTAAGTTCCTGCCTTGTCCTCACCAGACCTAAGTACCCCAAGGGCTTTGAATGCCTTATCCCCAAAGTCCCCATCCCACATCTCAGTATCTATCTTCTATGTTTCCCCATTGAAGCCCTATTGTGGCAGGGCAGGTGCAATGAAGCTGAGAGTTCAATCCTCTTTGAATCCCGATACTCTTATAATTATGTTGGGCCTAATTACGTCCTCAGCTTTTTCTGCCTTCTGGATCTGATAAGTGTGAGTCCACACTGTTGCCCAGAAGTCCTCTTTCACACTAGACCTTTCAAGAGATCAGTAGGTCGGGGCGCCTGGGTGGCTTAGTCGGTTGGGCGTCCGACTTTCGCTTGGGTCATGATCTCGCGGTTCGTGGGTTCGAGCCCCGCGTCGGGCTCTGTGCTGACTGCCAGCTCGGAGCCTGGAGCCTGTTTCAGTCTGTGACTCCCTCTCTCTCTGACCCTCCCCTGCTCACGCTGTCTCTCTCTCTCTCTCCTAGAAATAAATAAAACATTAAAAAAAAAAAAAAGAGATCAGTAGGTCTTAGTTTTTCATAGTCTTTCTCTGAATGGTTGATGCTCAGCAACTGTCGTCCACCCCAAAGTTCTTATAATGACCAACTGATTTCCAGATTACCAGGCACTCCCATCATCCACTTAATCCATCCCAGGTCACTGCTGGTTGGTGTTAGCAGTGACCATAGCAAGCTGGGACCTTCCCCTCTTCCTCTGCCCACCAGACAGGGGACCTCTTGCCAGCCAGCGGACTGAGACCCAGGTCTGTACCTGCACATGAGACTGGGTTTCCAGACCCCTCACAGACAAACTCCACAGGTCACCTGAGTTGGGAAGCAGACTCTAAATCATATGAGAAGGGAGAAAGCTCAGTGTGGTGAGGTGCCTGATTCAAAGGAAGGAGGCAACAGTGGCAAAGGGAGATATTGAACACAATGCAACACAGAAAAGTCACACTTGCACAGAAAACAGGCAAACTGGATGTCATTTTTGAGTTATTTAAATAGAGCAGAGGGGCAAAACCTTTGTACACCAACTTCTTCCAGTCTTCTGCTGCACACCACCCTCTAGAAGCAGGTGCAAACATGTGAAATGCAGCTCTTTCAACTGAGAAAAAGTCCAGAGGGCCACCCAGCTGAGAGCTGCTGAGCTCCAACATTCCAGGGGTAAAAATGTTGGGCTTTTGCTCCTTTCTCTAAGAATATTCCATGTATTTCAAAATGTGTTTGAATTTCTTGATGTAAATCTAAGAGGAAAATCCAGTCCTTGTAAAAAGGCAAAGAATCTGAAGCTGTCCCTCCAGATCCAATGACCTATGTGCAACAGGAGAGTACCTGATTTTGGCACTGGGATCCTGGTGGTCTGGATGGTGTTTGAAGCCCCTCCCACATTTAGACCTCATATCCGTTCCTACCAGGGTGTTTTATGACCAGCAGATCTTGTGAGGACAGGCTACCCTGAGGGCTCCCTCAGCACAATAACTTGGGGTCGTAGAGGCTCACATGCAGAACAAGGAAAGGAATTCATGCACTGTGTGATGTCACCATGACACTGTCCTCACTCTACTTGAGGACACACTGACATTCGTCCCTATGACCCTGAGAGGATGGACTTATCCCGGTCCACACACACGGTCTCAGATTCATCCTAAGGGACAGCAGTGAGGGATTCCCCACTCACCTTGTGGCCCTCTGTAAACTATGAGCCTGGTCCCTCATCTGAAAGAGGATGGAAGTCTTGCACCATAAGGTGTGGGGACCAAGTCAGTAAAGCTCACATACATGTTACTGAGTGCTCAGGTCTCCACCCCTTCCCTTAGGAAGGACACCTGATAGCCTGAGAAGGGATGAGGGAGACGAATTATCTCTTACCCTGACGTCTGCCTGGAGCCTTCCATGGGGGGGATTCGTGAGCTTCAAGCATTGATTGGTACAGGTCTCCTCAGATAGAGTAAGTGGAGGCCCCAGACCTCCAGAGTGGACTCATGGATCTCTCTCTAATGTTCTGTCCTGTCCCTTCATTTCCAGATCGAGAACTGTCCACTCCACTCCTGGTGGTTCTCTTCCTGGGCCCCAAGCTGCTGCTGCTCGTCACTGTCTCTGCCATCTATGTCCACAGGAAGCAATGGATTGACTGTGGATTATGGACAAGGAGGGCAGGGCAAGGTCCATCCCAGAAGGACCCAGGTCAGCGGGAGGGGCAGCCTACAGGTCACACAGGGTCAGCGCCCACCTGGGGTAAAGACCAGGTGACACACCTCCCTTCATATCCTCTGGAGCCTCAGGAATCCCTCTGAGAGGATCCCAACTTCCAGAAAGACTACTGGATTCTGTAAGAGGTGGATGGGGTCAGGGGCTTTGAAAGGATGTACGGAGATACCTACAGCTTCTGGGAAGGGAGTGGGCTGAATAAGCGACAGCTGGGTGGGAAACCCCCTGGAGACCATCTCTAGATTATTTGGGCACAAGGAATCCGCAGTTAGAGGAAAGCTGACGAGTGTGTGCTGGCTGCCCTGGGGACAATTTCCACTCTGACCCTCTGTGGGATGATTGAAGGGGTTAGGAAGGGGGATAGGGACCTAGGGAGGAAGGCTGAGGAGGCATAGTGCATGTAAGGGGCTTCCTACTCTCTAACAACAGGTGTTCTGGGAGGAAAATAGCACTGAGGTTGTAAGAGACACATGGAGAATATTTCTGGAATGGAAGGCAGATCATGAAATGTGAACATGGGTCCATAGCTCCTTCCTTCCTCCCCTGCTACCTGCCACCCTCAGTCTCTGCTGCCTTCTTCCTTCCATGAGAGGCCCAGACTAAAACAGAAAACACCTAGAAGCTTCTACAACACTGCTCCAAATGCTTTCTTCCCCAGAGACCCATCTGCCACAGTTCCTGCTGCTCCTTCTCACCATCCTTGATGCCCCAGAGCTGGGCTACATACCTGGGCCTGCGCAGAGGCCATGGGAATGTCTCTAGAGACATACACATGGATATCTTCCTAGAATGTGAGAAACAAGTCACAAGTTCATGTACCAGGCTATCTCTCATCTATTTCCTGGGGACTGTGGTCACGAACTACACATTCAAGTCCATGCTCTCATGGGTTATTGCTGCCAACCCCCAGACTCCCTAGCCTTGGTAAGGTGCTTCAATCCATCTTGAATACAAATGAATCCTCTCCTGGATTGAAGGGAAAATAAAGGACTCACATCCTCTTTGCCTACCTGTCCTACTCCTCAAACCCAGAGAGAAGATTTCCTCCTCTCCCTGTGATGGGAACACTAACTCTACTGTCACCTTCATCCTTTTTGGCCCTCTGCTCATGTACACATGCTGGCAGTCCAGAAGTCAGGAACCTTCCTTGATTTCCTTCTTTATATCCTATATTTAATTCTGCTTTCATAATGTATGTCCAGTAACCAGACAGTGTTAAACATTCTATGCTTGGAAAGTAAAAGACTGCTTTGTGGTTCTTGCCGACTTCTGTGGTGTCGATACTCCTAATGTGGCCAATTTCAAGCTGCCAACAGTTGAATAACTAGCTTGAAAAATTCCTGAAAAGCTCTCATGTGTGAGTGCAAGCTTCCTCCTGCACACCAGTGAGCTACAACCAGAACCTGCACTCTGCTCACTCCTGGGCTGCTCCCCAGTCACAGGCACCAGCATCCCTTCCTGGACCATTGCTATGTCTCTAAAGGCTCTACAGTGTCAGCCACAGTGATATTAGGGAAGTGGAAGTCAAATGTATCCCTCCTCTGCTTCTTCCCACTACAGATGTGCATGCCTCAGTCTCTCCCTCTTTCAAGCTTTCCCCACATGTCACTCTATTAAATACACCTTCCATTAACCACCCACATAAAATAGCAATTCCTGTCTCTCACTCTGTATTCCCACAGCTCATACCTGAACTGAATTCTTTCCCTGGAAGTTAAGATCGGCCGACATGATAAATGGAGACAGTGCTTGTCTGCACGGTGGTGAAGGACCGAAGCAATGACGATGCATCTGAAACCATGTGAAGTGATCAGAATAATCTGAGGGAAAAGTAACAACTTTTCTGTGAACTTTAGAATCTTAGTTCAACATACTGGATACCCTCCAACTGCCAGTTATGAATGGATACAGACATGAAAAGACAGTAATAGTATGATTCACTTGGTAAATGGTCATTTGAAACATTAGAAAGGGTGAAAGGCAGGGTGAGGTGCCTTGGTGGCTCATCCACCTCCTGATTGGGCTCAGGTCATGATCTCACAGTTCATGGTTTCAAGCCCTTTGCTGGGCTCTGCCTGGAGAGCACAGAGGCTGCTTGGGATTCCTCTCTCCCCCTCCCTCTGTTCCTCCCTGGTTTGCTCTCTGTCTCTTAAAGAAAATAAAAGAAGTAACATTAAAAAATTTTTTAAATTAAAGAAAGGAAACCTTGAGATGTAAAGTGCTTTATTTTTTTAAAGACTGATCTAGAGAAGTTTGCAGAGTGCTTGCCTTCTTGTAACTGCACAGTTTACAATAAAACAAGTTCTCCATTATCTCATTTGTTTCTCAATTGGGATCAGCTTCCAACATTATTGTACTTCTAATGCTGTGAACAACATATTTGTGAATATTTTCTGATGTCACTTCTTCTGGGACATTTTCACTCTCCTTACGCCCCCTCCCCCGTCCCCACACCATCCTCAGGTACGTGATAGGTTTGCTTTCACTCTGCTCCTCTGCCTGCATATCTAGACTCTGGAAACCATATCCCTGGCAGCATTTTCATGAAAGTTGCCATTGCTTCATGAACCCCACTCACATTCAGTTTGAACTTTACCTCTAGCCTCATCTTTTCACGATTCACCTGCACACTTTCAGCTTGGTGCCCATTCATTTTCACCATTTTCCCACTTTTATGCAATGTCACCCAGGCTCATCACAGGGAGACCAGGAGACAACAAAACTACCCACTTTGCTATTGTGGTAAAGAAACATCACAACCCCAATATCCTGGCACCTTGATCTTAGACTTCCAGGATCCAGTACTTTAGGAATTGGTTCCTGTTGTGTAAGGCATCCAGTTTTGGGTGTTTTCTTACAACAGCCCAAGCCAAGACCAAATCTTATGAATTATGAACTTTGCTTACTGATCATGAACCAATGTTGATTCATTATTTATAACAAATGTACCATATACCGTAAGACATTAATAAGACGAGAAACTGGGCGCATGGCTATATTGGGACGCTGTATGACTGTCGCAATTTTTTCTAAATGTAAAACTGTTTCACAAAATTAAATCTATTAAGAAAAAATTTCAACATCTTGTGCTCAGCTGAATCTCTGCCTCTTGCACCCCCTTGGGGGAAAATGCAAGGTAATGAATGGCGGGGAGATTTGGTGTTATTATTCAGGTTTTATCTCACTTCAGGTTTGTGGTTCCTTCTCCTTCCTGTCCTCTGCCAGAGCTCACTCCAGAGCCAGGCACTCAGGGATCCCAGGAGCTGCTTCTCAGTCCCCATGATAGGCATCCCAAATATTTTCAATTATGAAAGCCCAGGTTAGTCCAAGGGTGAACAGAGAACTCTGATCCCCTGGGGGTAGTTTTCAGACCTCAAATGGGGAGCAGTTAATCCTGTCCTGAGCCCAAGGAACAGCTGGAAGGTGCTCTGCAGAGCATGGTGGATGCTGTGATGTACCAGGTCTCAGGAGGTGGCCCTCAGCTGTCACCCTCTTTGGGATGGCCTCAGCTGAGGAGAGTCACCGTGCCCAAGGTCATGCCTGGTAACATCCTAGCTCCAGACCACATGGGAGATCATCTGAGGTTATCATTGAGACCTCACTGCAGCTCAACTTCTTCTAAACAATCTTTTCCCTTCTTCTCCCTTCCACAGGTTTGATCCTAAAAGTACTCCCTCAAAATCACTTGCTTGTTAATATTCATCTCAACATCCATTTCCCAGGGAACCCAATGTGGAACAAGAGACTGTGGTCAGTACCAGATAAAAGAAGAGATCCTTTTGTCTCTAGGGGCCAAGCCAGTCATGGAAGAATGGATTGTTTACACTGCCACATACCATATACATATACTGCATACCACATTCTATATACCATATACCACATACCATATTCCACATTCCATATACCATATACCACATACCATATTCCACATGCATATACCATATACCACATACCATATGCCATACACCATATACCCTATATCATATACCAAAAACTCTGAGTATATAAAAGCAATTAGAAACCACTAATTGTTTATGCAAAAAGAGGTATAATAAGATCTGTGTGGTAGAAGATGACTTTGGATAGAGGAGAAAGTAGAGCTTACACCAGGCTATTAGGAAGCAATAATTTTTGTCCAGGCAAAAGATGGTGATGGAGGTAGAGAAATGGAATCAACAGGTATTTAGGAGGTCAAATTAACCAGGCCTCTAGGGTGCAGGCAAGAGTGGACAAGTGAGGATGCAGAACAAGGGCCTCTTCTTGGTTGATCAGATGTATAGAGGATATGCCACATACTGAACAGAGTCGAAGGGGGCAAGAGAATGTCCAAGTGCAGACTATGAACTCAGTTTTGAATATTTGAACTATACAAATGAAAATTTCAAAGTCAAAGGATATGCACGTCGTCACCAAGAAGTGGATTCAGGATTAGAATCTTGATTGCATCTGGTTACAAATCCAGTGCTGTTGACCAGCAAGGCACTAAAACACCCAGTTTCTGAAGAGTTTAGAGTCTGATGGAAGGTGTGAAGTCCCGTAGAGGTGGGAACACAGGAGGGATGCTGGAAACTGGAGGTAAGATTCTGTTCCACCCTCAGCAGGGGCCATGGATGGCTTCAGAGGATGGATTTCATCTTTCCAGAAGAATGTGATAAAATGGTGACATCACTGAAAGCGGGGAGTCTTGTCATCTTCTCTAGGCAGTTTGGGCCTGCTCTGCATTCTCCTCTTGCTCTCACACTCCTCCTGACTTCTATATCCTGTAGATCCCTAAGAACAGGCAGGGCTCACAAGGAATCTGTTGCAAAATAGCCCTAGCATTAAGTGCATGACAATGGACTCGCGGACATTAAGGGTCATCAGTTTTGTGTGGACAGAGAGACTCTGGACACAGCCATTGTGTGTGAGAAGAGCCCACTCTAGTGTGACATGGTCAGAGTCGCATGCTGGTTCCATCACTTTCTGAGAGCATTTCTTGAGTTCCTCCACCCCCTTCTTCCAGAAGCCACTTCCCCCAATAAAACCAAGTGGAAAACACAGAGGTCAACCAAACAGACGATTCCATCCTCATCAGTGACGTGTCACCCAAGGACATGGGCAGCTATTCCTGTGTGAATTTAACATTAGGGCATCCTGAGGTGCCGTATGTATCTGCTTCAAGCTCCTTATTTCTGTGAAAGGTGAGTATAGCCGGACAATGTCCATCACCTTGGTAAGTAAAACTAAATTTTTCAAAATTGGAAACATGTACCGAATTATCAGTACACACTGGATACCGAGCCCCTTCAGCTACAAACAACCCTGTAGGCTGGGATTCTACACATGGCCCTTCTGTCTGTCTAGGGCCCTTTGCCCAATATTGAATCAGGCCATGTGACAGACCATCTGATGACCCAGCTACGAAACCTGAACACAGGATAAGAAAAACTCCAAATCAAAAGACACTCAATAGGTTAAATATAACTGCATGTGTGCACTGAACAGTCCAAAAAGTTGTTAAACTGAGCCTACAAGTCTGTCTGGTCTTTCTGAGGTTTAAGGACAAACCTGAGCTCAAGAATATGCAGTGTGTCTTTTTGAAGTACTTCCTGTCTCCAAACATAAGTCACAGACACTGTGGCCCCATAAGAGCCTCTGGATAGGGATGGAATCTCAACATGAGGAATGTTAGCCCCAAGTCTAATATCTCCTGGGACAAAGCAAAGGGATCCACAGACAGATAGAACCTCTACAAGCCCTCAAAATTCCACTCACTCATTTCTAACTAGAATGTCATTGGGGCCTGGTGACAGCTCCCTGAAGAGTCAACACAATGCAGTGAAGACATCGTTCCCCACACAGAAAATACATGAGTGCCTATGGTCTACTACTATGACTTCTGGGGAACCAAGAAACCAGCAGAAAGGTTCCTGTGAGTCACCCACTCCCAGGTCTCCTTCAGATTACTTGTCCTGGAGGGGTTGAGTCTCTCTCCTGGCACTTGATCTTTCCATGCCCTGCCCTGGTCTACCCTCAGCTATGCTCTTCTCTTACTCTCTGAGGACTACCAGTGTTTCCTGCTTCTTGCCACTCCTGCATTAATTTTATCAAGTACAGTGTGATTAGAGTATCCATCTGTCTTCTGGAAAACTAGTTTCCTCAGTAATGTTCTCTTCAAGTCCAGCCATATTCCATGCCATCCATTGGCCATGGAACATTTACATATTTCCTTCAACCCGGAAAATGTGAGTACAGGTGGCTTACCTGCCATTCTCCTGCATTTGGCTGTGGGGCCAGTGTAGGGAACACAGTCAGATCCCCTTGCCTTTGGTTTGGTATTAGATTGTATCATACTGTGTCTTCATATGAACTCTACTGAAATATATAACATCTTATAAAATTTATCTTGCAGTTTTTCCTCATTATGAACACATTCTACTGCACAGTTGAAAATCCACGTGAAAAGAGCTCTGGAAGTCGTTACACCATAATTTCAGGAGCCAGGAATCATAAATGCATATACCCTTGGATTGGGGTGTCCAATTCGCATGACAGTAAAATAAGCTGTGTCTGTCATAATCCCAGTTTTGTCCCTTGTGACCTTGGGCAGATTACTGAACCTCTCCAGACTGAAGATCCTTCCTATGTAAAATCTCAGTATCTTGGAGTCAAAAAGATGTAGAGTCTGTGAATCTTAAAATCTTAGAATTATCAATTCATTGAGTGAGTCAACTGACTTGTAGGTTCTTAAATGGTATTTAATATTCATCTTTGCATCTTTCATGGCCAAAGTGGAAAAAAAGAGAGAGCAAGATTTTGAGACTTTCATCGATCCCATTCATTCTTTCATCCATGCATTCTCCCATCCAATCATGCATCAAGCATTCACTCACTCAATGCACACTCTCATTCAGCCACGCATTTACCTATGGAAGAACCTGTTAACAAGTACCTGAATCCTCCTTTGAGGCAGCCCCTGGGCAGATGACTATTTTCAAGGAGCTCCCTGACTCCCACCGTGGACTTCCTGTAGTAATTGTCTGCTTTCTCTGGGCTGTGTCAGTTCCCACTACAGTGACAGTGTCCCAGTCTTCACCTTCCTCAGACTTGGTGGCTCTATCTGCTATGTGGGGAGATTCTATCCACATTTGAGCCAAACATATGGCTGAATCTATTTGTCTACCTCTGTCATCGTGTATATGCCACTTCTCCAGGGATGATGAGGTTGCTTGAAAACTGACAAAGAGCCAATAGAGAAATATAATGGTATATCTTGGAAGTATGTCCTTTGGTTGTGATTCTTTTGGAGAATAGAATAGAACTTTTTCTTTTTTTAAAAAAAAATATTTTTCTTAATGTCTTATTTATTTCTAGGAGAGAGAGAGAGTGAGCAGGGGAGGGTCAGAGAGAGAGGGAGTCACAGACTGAAACAGGCTCCGAGCTGGCAGTCAGCACAGAGCCCGACGCGGGGCTCGAACCCACGAACTGCGAGATCATAACCTAAGCGAAAGTCGGACGCTTAACCGACTAAGCCACCCAGGCGCCCCTAGAATAGAACTTTTTCAATTTATCTCTGTGTATCTGTTAATCTAGTACATGGTCTAGGTATAGAAGGAGTTCAGTAACTGTTTTTGAGTAATAAACGATTCAACATTGTAATAACTATACATTACATACATATATATGAAAATAATTTCTCCTCTATTCCATCAGCCTTTATCATTTCTGGGATTGATAAACTGGTAGGGAGCCTGTATTTGTGTTAAATCCTTCAATATTAATTGTAAATACTTGATACAATAAATGGCAAATATAAGCAAAAAAAGATCACACACACACACACACTCAGTGATCAAAATGAATTAAATCTTGTCATTTGCAATGATGTGGATGAAGTGTATCATACTAAGCAAAAGAAAGTCAGAGAAAGACAAACACCATAGGATTTCACCCATATGTAGAATTAAGAAATAATAGTGATGAACATATATAGGAGGAAGGATAAAAGAAAGAGAGAGGGAATTAAACCATGAGAGACTCTTAATGATAAAGAACAAACACAAGGTTGTTGAAGGAAGGTGGGTTGGGGTGGGCTACATGGGTTTTTGGTATTAAGGAAGGCACTTGTTATGATAAGCCCTGGGGGTTGAATGGAATTGATGAATTACTGAATTCTACTCCTGAAACCAATCGTGCACTGTATGTTAACTAACTAGAATTTAATAAAGCTTTGGAAAAAAAAAACCCTACCTTTTACTATAAATCCCAGGGATAAATGTACAGCACAGGGAAATAGAGTCAACACTACTTGAATAATGCTGTATAGTGACAGATAGTGACTATATCTGCCATGATGAGTGTTGCATAATGCATAGAATTGTTAAATTACTATGTTGTGCACCAAAAAATATTATAGCCTTGTATGTCAACCCTAAAAATAAAAATTTAAATACTTTAAAAATAAAATTTGTCCTGGTAGGAAAAAAAAAAAAGAATTGGACCCATACATGACACGTATTTGGTCAAGTGATGTTTGAAAAAGGTACCAACGCAACTCAATGTGAAAAGGCCTTTTCAACAAATGGTGTTGAAACAATTAGATCTTCATACATAGAAAGAAGGAGGAGGAAGAGGAGGAGGAGGAGAATAGAAGGAGAAGGTGAAAGAGGAAAAGAGGAGGAAGAAAAGAAGAAAAATCTTGAGTGTTTCCTTGTACCACACACAAAATTTGTTATTGTGAAAAATTTTATTACCTTATAGTAATGTTATTGTACAATATACACAAAAATACTAAGAACAAATTTAATATGATCAATGGATCAGACTTAAATTTAAGGCTAAAACTGTAAAACTTCTAGAAGAAACTGTAGGAAAAAAACTGAATTTAATGGTATTGGGTGAGCAGAGACATTTTAGATAAGACACAGGAAGCACAATCTATAAAAGAAAACACTGATTCATTTGACTTCTGTAATCTCTATACCAAACCTGAGGCCTCAAGAGGGAGGAAGCCCACAGGAGGGGAGAGAGGCCCATGCAGGGAGGAAGCAGTATTTCTCCTGGGCTGCTCCACTCTCTCTGAAATGTAAGAGGACCCCTCACCAAGTGAGGCCTTCTCTGCCTGACTTATATTTCACAATCTAGAAGCAGATTGGTGCCTCACAGCCCCGTCACCCCATCATAGGCACTTCCTCTTAACCATGGGAGGAGGCAGGCTTTCCTCTCTATAGAACAGAAGTCCATTCTCCCCAGGATGCACATTTGCACAGAGAGAGTCCCAGGCCTCTACAATGTTGGGCCCCACCTCCGGGCCCCAACTGCCTCCTTACCTGCTGCTGGCTGTGCTGATGGGACTCACAGGTAAGCATTGCCTTGGGGTACAATCCCTTTCCTGCCCCTCAACCTCCCCCTGTACTGGACATTAGGGGCCTCCAGGTAAGCCCAGGTGTGCTGCCAGGGCTGCCACAGAAGGCCAACGACTGGGTGTCATCTGAGAGCATGAAATCAGGAATATGAGCATTTCCTCTTTGGATCCATCACCTGCAGCTGGTTACCAGCGGTAGCCAGACAGGGGATGCTTCAATCTGCCACAAGGACAAGTGTACGTATTAAATGATCTAATCCTCACGACACCCCTGCTTGATAGCTAGGACTGTTACTCCTGATCAGCAGATAGAGAAATTCAGGCAGAGAGAGTTAGTGGCCAAATGTCGGCTACTTAAGTCAGTGCAGGTGCTGGGGTTCATGTCCAGGCCACTCAGCTCCACGTTCCTTCTTTTAACTGTGTAATGTGGTTTGGTTTCTCAGTGGAGACTAACTGCAGGAACATCTAAAATACCAAATGGGAAACAGAAGAAGAGGCATCTCTTATCATTCTCTGAGGTCTTCAGATTTCCAATTCAGCCATGTGTACTCCCAAACTTTGCTTACTGATGTGTTGGATGTTTCTTATGTAGCAAATCTTTGCTGAGCTTTAAAATGTATTACAATTTCATGTAATGCATGCTAGGCCATACTTTATATTATACTTGGCAATGCACTGGTGTATGTACAGGTGTACACGTATGAGTGCACATGAGGAAAGGTACACACACTTGTGGGTACACACACATGGGATATTTGAAAATGCTTCCCTTATTTCTTATGTCTTCACATCACATCCCCTCTATGTGAAACGTGCACTGAACACGTTTGCTCTCAGAGAGTCACCCTCTTTTTGAATGCTTTACTTCTCATTCAAGTACATGTTTATGGTGTGTTGAAAGCTCGGCCCAACTCTGCCACTCAGTTATCCAGGCTGATGGAACATGCATGTGCTTGTGGAGCAGGAAGTCCATCCATAGAAGGTTCTGGAAGTTAAATGCTGTCCATCCATAGAAGGTTCTGGAAGTTAAATGCCCAGCCCAGAAAACTAATCCATCCATCACTGTAACTCACACACAATGGTCTAAAGAAGTCTTATGGTCCCAATGATGCAGGGGTTCAGAAAGTGTAACACCAGAAGGGGCCAGACGGTAGACATGCAGAGTTATTTGGGGAAGCACGGGGCTTTCAGAGAGGGCTGAGGCACTCCCTCCTGCCGGGTGCCATTTCACTCAATCTCTCTGTGGTTTAGTGTCCTCAGCTGTAATAGGGTCCCGTGTTCCAGGCTCATCGTGTGGGTTACCTGCCGTATACATGCAGCGTGCTGAGCTCAAGGCTCACTCACGGTGTGCACTCGGTCAGTGAAAGCTGTTGCGGATAAACACTTGAAAAACAGACAGAATCGCACAAGGATGAGAAACACCTGCTTTCTGTTCCCACCAGGTGTGGCAGGTGTGGCAGAGCTACAGGTGATCCAGCCTGAGAAGTTGGTGGCCTTGGAAGCCGGAGAGACTGTCACTCTGCGCTGCATCATAACCTCCCTGCTCCCCATTGAGATGGTTGAGTGGTTCAGGGGGACAGGGCCAGACCGGAAGTTAATCTTCAGTTTCAGAGCAGGATACCACCCACCGTCTCGAGTAAGAAATGTTGCAGACATCACAAGGAGAAACAACATGGACTTTTCCATCCGCATCAGCAACATCACCCCAGCAGACATGGGAACCTACTTCTGTGTGAAGTTCCTGAAAGGGACCCCTCGTGTGCAGCTTAAGTCTGGATCAGGCACCCAGGTCATCATGAGTGGTGAGTGTGGTGTGGGCCTCCTTCGTTCCCTAGATGTGATGACAAGTCAATAAGGATGCCCTCCACTGTCTGAGCAACAGATACAGATAAGGTGCTGTTATGAGTGCCCCTGAATCAGCCCCTTCCTTGGATCAGGGAAGTTGAGGCCTGGAGAGGTTGTGCTATTTGTTCAAGGCCTCACGGCTGAAAAACAGTGACAAGATCTGGAACCTCAGTCAGCAGTTCCCATCTCTTCCCTTCTACAATCTGACCAGCCCTCTGGTTCCAGAATGAGGGACTGAAAGTCTGAGTGACTCGCTCAGTCACAAGGCCTCACCTCACTTCTGCCCCCAGTCAGCACTCACATCAATGTGGCCAGTGTTCCCTTTACTCAGCACTTACTAAGCACCTACTGCGTGCAGGCTCTGCTGTGGGTGCTGTGGGAGGAACAGGAAACAAAACACGCAAGGCCTCCTCACTCATGAAGCTTACGTTCCCCTCCCTCCTGTGAGGACAAATGCACCCAGCGCAGGGAGGGGGAGATGAATTTCCTTATAAACAGCCAGGATATCACAGGGAGAAGGGACACAGAAGCCCTGGTTACTCTGCCGCCCCTGGTAGAAGAGATGCCAGATGTTGGTCATTCGCTGAGGGTATGGTCGGAAAATGTTCCTGTGAATTAGGGACTGACTCTAACAGTAGCAACTGAGTCTCCTCATACCCCCAGACATAGGGAGGAAAGGTGGCTTGATCCTGATTATGCAGGTATTACAGAAGGTCCCAGTGGTATGTCCCTTGCCTGGTCACCACAGCTGTATGCGGCTCCACCGCCAGGCAGATCTGTATTGTCTGCCCACCCAGATGATGCCCTGGAAGATAACGGATGGAGACAGAGGGACCAGGGAGGGCCTCAGGCCACACGCTGTGTCTTCATCATGGCATTTTCTCAAATCACCAGTGGGGAGGGGCCATTTCTGCCCCTTTTACAGGTGGGGACACTGAAGTCACGGCACTGTTCTGGTCAAAGTGGGAGACAGCTGCAAGCCTCTCCTTGAAAATCTTGCTTTGTTCTATTCTTGAGCAATAAGTGTTAATAAAACCGAGTCCTTGGAGGAGGCAGGGCTAGCATTACACCCCGGATCAGACAGACACGCAAACGTCTCAGGTTGTATTGGGCCTGATCCTGGAGCATGGAAGAGCAGCTGGAGTCATTTCCTGTTGTGGGATGTTGTTCCTTAGCTGAGCAGCCTTGGGAGGGGGCCTGGGCAGAGCAGAGGGGTTGCCACAAACCCAGCCCCACCACCCATGCACCCTGTTCCTGGCTCTGCAGACTGAGGATAACAAGGAGGCCATTCATAGAGAGCGTCTAGAGCCCCATGAGCAAGGGTTCATTCTCTAGACTCAGCCGTCCGGGCTCCACACCTCCTCTATTGCTACAGGGTCCGCAGTCCTGGGCACCTGCAGGGACCCTTCCCAGAACTGCCTGCAGTGGAGAGTCCCAGAGGGAAAAGGAGGGTGGCAGTCACTGTTGGCTCTAGAAAATGGAGCACTTGTTCTGTTGTGACGAGAGGGCTGGAGGCCACCAGAAGCCCCCTGGGATGCAGTCCAGTGAGAGAAGCAGCCCCTTGTTTCTCTCAGACTCAGTCTCCTCATCTGAAAATGGTGATAATCACAGACTCCTCCTAGGAGAGAAGGAAAGAATTGAGGTGCTCTGTCTGCATCCCTTACACATAAGAAGTGGCCCAAATCCAGGGTTTCCTCAAGGCTGTGACCCGGCTCCCTTTGCTGGGCTCCGTTTCCTCACCTGTAGAACGTGAGTCATCACTCCGGCCTTGAAGGACGTTAGGGGGACACAGTGAACCATGTGAGAGGACAGACCCTCAGTGAACCCTGGGTGCCCCTCCCAGACCTGTCCGATCCTGGGCTAGTCTCAGTGTCTCTCAGGTCCTCCCTGTCCCATCTGTGCCACGGTGATAATCAGGCTGCTGGTCAGGGGTCCGAGGATTGCAGAGAAGGCCCAGAAAGCCCCGGATGTGGGAGGTAGGTGATTCTTGAGTGTCCACACGCAACAACTGAGTGTGGCTGATCCTACTCACTAGGCTCCCAACCAACTCTGCCTTCCTGACTCTATGACCTCGATGAGTCATCCCCACATTGGGCCCAGAGTCCTTGTCTATCTGTGACCACACGGCCCACAGAGCCCCTGCAGGGACTGAGTGTGTGAATGCATGTAAGGAGCTTACAGCAGGGCTTGGCACATGGTCAGTGTCTCATGAATGGTGGGGACACAGCAGAAACCCCAGCACAGTGCAGGCGCGGGATGAAGGAGCTGAGAGGTAGGATGGTTCAGCCTAGCACCGGGGGCCCAGGACACTGAATAAACCAATAACAGCACTTTGTCTCTACCAGCGGTGTCAAGACTGCTGGCGTTTTCATGACTTGACTTACTCATGTGACACCTCCTACCTATGTCCACAGAATGTTCGCTGAGATTAAGACAGGAAGTAAAGTATTCACAAATACACGTATGTATAAATGTGCCCTCTGCCGACTGTTATAGAAAGTGTTGGGTAATAAGTGACAATTTGGAGACACTTTATCGGACCTTCTAAAGGTGAAATTCCCTCCCTTTCAAGTCACTGATGTGTGTGTGTCCAAAACAAAGGAGCGCTTCTGCCTGCTCCATAGACCGGTGTCTCTGCCTTGAAATTATTTCACATTGAAGAACTTAACCACCACTGATATCATAGCACTCAGTGATCTTGGTTTTCAACCCAACACTGACCCAAGAGAAGAACGCAGATTCAGAATAACAACCCTTCACTCTCTCTCTCAGATTCAGGGATGACACAACTAGACCCTATGGAATATTTTTGGAAAGAGTGAAAAACTGAGTAAATCCATAATTACTTGAAAAGAAATCCTGGTATAAATTAATTTTGGTTTGAGGAGCATTTTCAGTGTTAAATTCAAAGTAAAACTGTCTGCATTGTTTGCCACTCACTCCCATCCGGAAGGAGAAAGGCCTGCTGTCCCACCTCACAGTGGGCACTGGGCTGTGTCACGTCTATACCTCCAGGCAGCTGGCCACCTGGTTACGGCTGTCATGGGGATGGGGGCCCTGTCTGTCTCCACCTCTGTGCTGACTGCCACACATGCTCTCTGACTTCCATACGGTGTCTGGGAAGGCAGCTCAGAACAGTGGAGACCAAGAGTGACACCCACCAGAAATGTCCTTCCTGTGCCCACATGGGTGGGAAGTCCCCTGGCAGGGACGACAACGGGGACCTGGAACTCAGGCTGGAATTGCCCGTGGGCCCTGCCCCCGACTCCTGGTCAATCTCTGACCCCGCCCTCCCAGCACTATCAGAAGGGCTGAAAAAGAATCCGTGTGACATTCTGCACAGTGTCACACACCTGTCGTTGGGGACGATGACCACGGTCGTGCTTACCCTTCATAAATGCTCCTCTCGTAGCCAAACCCTCTCCCCCCGTGGTGTCGGGCCCCACGGCCAGGGTCGCGCCCCAGCAGCCAGTGAACTTCACCTGCGAGTCCCACGGCTTCTCCCCCAGAAGCGTCACCCTGAAATGGTTCAAAAACGGGAACGAGCTGCCAGCCTCCCGGACCACCGTGGACCCAGAGGGAGACAGCGCTTCCTACAGCGTCTCCAGCAGCGCCACGCTGGTGCTGGCCCCGGGGGACGTCCGCTCCCAGCTCATCTGCGAGGTGGCCCACGAGACGCTGCAGGGGGGCCCTCCCCTTCGTGGGACGGCCAACCTGTCCGACACCCTGCGAGGTAGATGCCCGTCACCCCCAGCCCAAGCCCACGCCTGGCCCCCAAGCCTCCCAGCCTGCCCCTTCCCCACTCTGTGCTCGCAGCCTTCCACCCCCTGGATCCTGACTCCTGACAGACCCTCCCCATCACCGGGCATCCAGAGTCACCTCCTACTGTTTTATATGGCAGATTCCAGGTGAACCCCTACCACGTGCCAAGCACTGTGCTAGGTAGTTTCATTTACTTTCCTATAGCCGTTCCATTATTGAGCACCTACTGTAATCCAACCAGTGTGAGCTTGGTGATTTCATGTATTTTGCTAGTTATTCTATTCCAACTGCATGCCAGGGACCCCGAATCTGGATTTCACTCATTATTACCCTAATGGGAGCTACCAGTCCTTGAGCACCTACTGTGTACTGGGCAGTGTGCTAGGGATTTCATTCCCATGCAAAGACTACCCTCACTCTTTGATCACCCACTGCATGCCTAGCACTGTTCTGGGTAATTCCCTTGCTGTCTGGGGGGAGCTAAGTTCACGAGCCCCTCCCCTGTGATGTGTCTGTTCCATGGGGTCAGAGCTTCTGCTCTGTGCTGTTTCAGTTCCATCCTCCTTGGAATTTGCCCAGCAACCTGTGACAGAGGACCAGGTGAAGGTCACTTGCCAAGCAAAAAAGTTCTACCCTCAGCGCCTCCAGGTGACCTGGTTGGAGAACGGAAACGTATGCAAAACAGAGACAGCCTTGAGCCTCATAGAGAGCAAGGATGGGACCTATAGCTGGACGAGCTGGCTCCTGGTGAACGTATCTGCCCACACAGAGGAGGTGGTGCTCACCTGCCAGGTGCAGCACGATGGGCAGCGGGCAGTCACCAAAAGCCGTAAACTCAAGACCTCTGGCCGCACAAAAGACCAGTGCACAGATGGAAACTCTGGTGAGGTTTGATGCCAACTAACTGGCATTTAACTTTTATATTTTCTTTTTTCATGGTAAAAGTAGTTAGTCATGCTCATTGGAGAATAATCTAGATATCTATAGACATGAAAGTGAAATTTGCTGTGAGGTGCCTTCCCGCAAAGCCCACACTCCAAGAATGACCACTGGTAAGAGAAAGAAAGAATAGAGGGAGGGAAATTGGAGAGGGATCTTGTTGCTACTGTCTGTCTCCTGTTCCTTTACCTGACAGTGAAAAGTTGCCATGCCAGGCCAGCCATCCCCTCCTCCCAATCTTTCTCACCTGTCTAATCTATATTCCTTCAGAACATTCCATTGTCACCACAGCAAACGTCTGCATCCAACACTCTCAAATTCTGGAGTAAAGTCCAGAGGACCTGGAGGATTTGCTTTTCTGCTTTTATACAGAAAGCTCTCGTTTTAAAGTTTTTTATTTATTTTCAGAGAGACAGAGACAGTGAGAGAGAGAGAGAGAGAGAGAGAGAGAGAGAGTCTCTGAGGACAGGGACCACAAGCCTGTACATGTATCAGATATAGTATCTGGACATTGTCCCTAGGACCTACAGAGTCCCCTTTTCATGACCAAAGTATACCTTATTTCTCTCTCATGTAGCATCAGGAGGAGGCAGAGCCAGGATCCAAGGAGTCTTTGCTCCAAAAGACGTTTCAAAGGCCTATGTTCCTTCTATATGCACTATGACATCACCATCATTGCTGGGACAACAATGGGTCACTCAGTGTCCATGCCCCTCCAGCCGGGAAAGTATAGATAAGAAGAGAAGAACAAATAACTTCTTTTAAAACTAGAGGTATACAGAAGTTGCAGAATTGTGTCCACTAATGGCTTAGTCACAGATACACATCCAGTTGCCAATGGAGTCCATGTGTGTGGTCATGTGAGTAATGACACTGGCTTTTCTACAAAACCAATACCATTACACACATCATAAAATAATTTCCTACTACCATCTAAAATGGAGTCTATATTCAGATTTTTGAAAATTTCTCCTGTAACTTCATTTTGGGTCCCTAACTCAGTTTTAGTTCATCTGTCAATGCTTGGAAGAACTTTCCTGTGAAACCACCTAAGCTCCACAGTTCTTTCAGTGACTGGAAAAGAATCTGAGTGGCTACTCAAATTCATCATTTTATATAGGATTCTTGGGGCCAGTTGTGCTGTTGAGGATTCTGCTCCATTTTCTCTGCGTTGTCAAATTTCTGCCCACAGAGTTGCTCATAATACTACCCCGATAGCCTGTTGGGGTCTGTAGGGTCTGTAGTGATATGCTGTTTCATTCTTGTGTTATTTCTCTTTTTCTCATTGTCAAAATTGCTAGAAGATTTTCCATTTTATTAATATTTTCAAAGAACCCACTTTTGTGTCCGTGATTTTCTCAATTGTTTCTGTCTTCAATTTCATTGCTTTTTTCCTTTTATTCTTTCACTTCCTTTGAATTGATTTTGCTCCTCGTTTTTTGACATTGGAACTGAGATTTTTTTTTTAATTTAAATTCTAGTTAGTTAACATACAGTGTAGTATTGGTTTCAGAAGTAGAATTCAGTGATTCATCACTTCCTATAATATCCAGTGGTTAACAGTGGTGCCCTCCTTGATACCCATCACCCTCTTAGCTTACCCCCACAAACCTCCTTGCATCAACCCTTAGGTTATTCTCTACCATTAAGAGTCTCTTATGGTTTGTTCCCTCTCTCTTCCCCTCTTCCCATAGGAGCATTTGCTTTGCTTCTTAAATTCCATATACAAGTGAAATCATATGGTATCTCTCTCTGACGGACTTATTCCCCTTAGCATAATACACTCTAGCTCCATCACATTGTTGCAAATGGCAAGACTCTTTCTTTCTGATTGCCAAGTAATATTCCATTGTATATGGATTCCACGACTTCTTTACCCATTCACCAGTCAATGGACATTGGGGCTCTTTCCATTGTTTTCCTATTGTTGATAACGTTGTTATAAACTCTGGGGTGCATGTATCCCTTTGAATCTGTATTTGGTATACTTTGGGCAAATACCTAGTAGTACAATCCTGGATCATAGGGTAGTTCAGTTTTTAACTTTTTAAGAAAACTCCATACTGTTTTCCAGGGTGGCTGCACCAGGTTTGCATTCCCACCAACAGTGCCAGAGTGTTCCCCTTTCTCTGCATCCTCGCCAACACCTGTTGTTACATGCATTGTTAATTTTAGCCATTCTGACAGCGTGAGGTGGTTTCTCACCAAGGATTTGATTTGTTTTTCTTGATGATGAGTGATGTTGAGCATTTTTTCATGTGTCTGTTAGTCATCTGGATGTCTTCTTTGGAAAAATGTCTATTAGTGTCTTCTGCCCAGTATTTGTTTGTTTGTTTTAAATTCAAGTTAGTTAAATACAGTGTAGTCTTGGCTTCAGGAGTAGAACCCAGTGATGTGCCTCTTACCTATGACACCAATGCCTATCCCAAAAGGTTCCCTCCTTAATGCCCATTACCACTTAACTCATCTCCCCACCCACCTTCCCTCCAACAACCCTCAGTTTGTTCTCTGTATTTAAGAGTCTCATTTGGTTCCCCCATTTCCTCACTGGATGGCTTCACTGGATTGAGATTATTGATGCTGGATTTTTCTTTGTTCAAATGTCACACCTTGGCATTCTTCTGTTTCCTGGGATTCAGGAACATGAAGCCAGGGTACTTTTTTTTTTCTTAAATAGTTTCTTGTAAACTTGGTTTACATATAACACCCAGTGCTCATCCCAAAAAGTGCCCTTCCCCATGCCTATCACCCCCCTTCCCCTCCCATCCACCCCCATCAGCCCTTAGTTTGTTCTCAGCATTCAAGAGTCTCTCATGGTTTGGCTCCCTCTCCCCAAATATTTTTCCCCTTCTTCTCCCTCATGGTCCTCCATTAGCTTCCTCCTAATCCACCTGTATGTGCAAACATATGGTATCTGTCCTTCTCTGTCTGACTTATTTCACTCAGCATAACACCCTCTAGTTCCATCCATGTTGCTACACATGGCCAGATTTCATTCTTTCTCATTGCCATGTAGTACTCCATTGTACAAATATACCACATCTTCTTGATCCATTCTTCAGTGGATGGGCACTTAGGTTCTTTCCATGTTTTGGCTATTGTTGAGAGTGCTGCTATGAACATTGGAGTACATGTGCTCCTATGCATCAGCACTCCTATATCCCTTGGGTAAATTCCTAGCAGTGCTACTGCTGGGTTATAGAGGAGTTCTATTCATTTTTTGAGGAACCTTCACACTGTTTTCCAGAGGGGCTGCACCAGCTTACATTCCCACCAACTGTGTAGGAGGGTGCCCGTTTCTCCACATCCTCTCCAGCATCTATAGTCTCCTGATTTATTCATTTTAGCCACTCTGACTGGAGTGAGGTGGTATCTCAGTGTGGTTTTGATTTGTATTTCCGTGATGAGGAGGGATGCTGAGCATCGTTTCATGTGTCTGTTGGCCATCTGGATGTCCTCTTTGGAGAAGGTCTGTTTGTGTCATCTTCCCATTTCTTCACTGGATTATTTGTTTTTCGGGTGTGGAGTTTGGTGAGTTCCTTATAGATTTTGGGTACTAGCCCTTTATCTGATATGTCATTTGCAACTATGTTTTCCCATTCCGTCGGTTGCCTATTAGTTTTACTGATTGTTTCCTTTGCTGTGAGAAGTTTTTTTATCTTGATGAGGTCCCAGTAGTTCATTTTGCTCTTCATTCCCTTGCCTTTGGGGTTGTGTCAAGTAAGAAATTGCTGCAGGCCAGATGGCTTCCCTGGGGAAGTCTACCAGACATCTAAAACAGAACTAATACCTATTCTTCTCAACCTATTCCAAAAAATAGAAGCCAGGATACTTAAACTCTGTTCTTACTCCAGTCTGTTGACACTTAACTGCCTGCCTTCCTCCTCCACCTTTCAGAGTCTTCCGGATTGTGCGGTATTTCCCTTTTGTCTCCCAAAGATTTTGCAAGATGGGATTGCTCTTCAGGGGTCACTGACAGCCAGTGCTCCATAGAATTTACCGTCCTTTTATTGCCTTTGCTTTGTGTTCAGAAGCTGTATTCAGGGACCGGTAACTAAGCTGCTGCCTTGTCCTCAGCAGACACAAGTGCCCTGAGGGCTTTGAATGCCTTGTCCCCAAAGTCCCTGTCCCATATCTCAGTATCTGTATCTCAAATTTCCCTCCCTGGGCCCGATTTTGGCAAAGCAGGTGCGCTGAAGCTGAGAGGTCAATCTTCTCTGTAGCACTGATGCTCCTTTGAGGATGATGGACCCACTTATGTCCTGAGCTTTTTCTGCTCTCTGGCTCTAGGAGGGAAGAGTCTACAGTCTTGCCTGGGATTCCTTTGACTTTCACCCAGAACTTTTCATGTGAGATCTATTGGTTTCTTTTTGCGTTGTCTTTCTCCGATGGACTGATACCCAGCAACAGCCACTCAATCCTGTAGTTATGATAATGACCAGTTTATTTCCAGATGACCAGGGTACCCTGCTTCTCTACTGACTCCACCCAGGTCACCAATGTGAGGTTCTAGCTTGACAAGCGCAGGGCAAGCTGGGACCTACCCCTGCCCCACCCCCCACCAGGCTGGGGACCGCTTGGCCAGAGAGCAGGTCTGTATCTGCACATGAGAGCTGGGTTTCCAGACCCCTCCCAGACAAACGCCACAGGTCAACTGCCTTGGGAAGCAGCCTCTAAGTTATGTGAGACGGGGCAAGCTCCCTGTGGTGTGCTGCCCCATGCACACGCGTGTGAGACAGGGAAGGAGGCAAGACTGGCAAAGGAAGACATTGAACAATGTAACCCAGAATAATCCTACTTGGACAGAGAACAGGCAAGCTGGATGCCATTTTTTACTTTTTTGAAATGTGGTGGAGGGGTGAAACCTCTGTACCCGCTCTTTTTCCAGGCCCCTCCCTTCTAGAAGCAGGTGCAAACATGGGCAATGCAGCTCTTTCAACTGAGAAAAACTGCTAAGGGCCACCTAGCAGAGAGCTGCTGTCCTCCAACACAGCAGGGGTAAAAATGGTGGGTCTCTGCTCCTACCTCTAAGATTATCCCATATATTTCAATTTTTTGAAATATTTTTAAGTTTTTTAATCTTTAGTTATTTTTGAGAGAGACAGACAGACAGAATGTGCATGGCGGGTGGGCAGACAGAGAGGGAGACACAGAATCCAAAGCAGGCTCCAGGCTCCAAGCTAGCTGTCCGTACAGAGCTCATTGCGTGGCTCGAACCCATGAACCATGAGATCATGACATGAGCCAAAGTCGTACACTGAACCGACTGAGCCACCCAGGCACCACTTACTTGAATTTCTTGATGTAAATCTAAGAGCAAAATCAATCATTATGAAAAGGCAAAGAATTTGAAGCCGTGCCTCCAGATACAATGGTCTATGTCCAACAGAAAGGTGTCCTACCTGTTGTTGGCACTGGGGGCCGGGTGGGCTGGGTGATGTTTGAAACCCCTCCTGAGAATTTCCTTGCCTCCCTCAGGTGTTATCCAGCCAGCAGGAGTGCCCTCAGCACGTGAGAACACGGGGTCATGGACACCCGTGTGTGAAACAAGCAAGGCAGCCTTGCACCTCACTCACCATGACACAGTCCTCACTGCACTAGGGGCCGGCTGCCATTCATCCCTATGACCCTGAGAGGTTGGACATGTCCTGGTCCAGAGACAAAATCTCAGAGTTGTCCTACGGGACAGCAGTGAAGGATTTCCCAGTCATCTTTGACCTTCTGTAAACTATGAGCCTGTTCCCTCGTCATAAAATTTATAAGACCCACCCCATTGGGTGTGGCGACCAAGTCAGTAAAGCTCACTTGCATGTTGTTGAGTTCTCATGTCTCCACCCCTTCCCTCAGGAAGGACACCTGGTAGCCTGGGAAGGGGTGAGGGAGATGAGGTACTTCTTACCCTGAGATCTGCCTCTCGCCTCTAGCAGGGAGAGTCATGAGCTCTCAGAGCATTGATGGGTCCATGTCTCCTTAGATGGAGTAAGTGGAGGCCCATAGGAGTGGACTCCTGGATCCTTCTCTGATGGTGCGTCCTGTCCCTTCATTTCCAGGTCAAGAACTGTCCACTCCACTCCTGGTGGCTCTCTGCCTGGGCCCCAAGCTGCTGCTCCTCATCAGTGCCTCTGTCATCTATGTCCACAGGAAGCAAGGGATTGACTGTGTTATGTTATGGATGAGGAGGGCATGGCAAGGTCAGTTCCAGAAGGAGCCAGGTCAGCAGGAGGGGCGGCCCAGTAGTCACACAGGGTCAGCACCCACCTGGAGTAAGAGCAGGTGACGCACCTCCCTTCGTACCCTCTGGAGCCTCAGGGATCCCTCTGAGAGGTTCCCAACTCCCAGAAAGAGTGTGGGGTCCTCACGAACTGTGTTGGGGCAAGGGCTGTCAAAGGACAAACAGAGTCCTAGGGCTTCTGGTAAGGAAATGGCTGAGGCTGAATGAGGGCAGCTGGGTGGGAAACCCCTTGGAGACCATCTCTAGATTCTTTGGGCACAAAGAGGCCACAGAGGAATGCTGATGGGTGCCCGCTGGCTGCTCTGGGGACAGCTCCTGCTCTGACCCTCTGGGGGACAGAATGGTGGGGTCAGGAAGGGGGATCAGGACCTAGGGAGGAAGGCTGAGGAGGCAGAGTCCATGTCAGAGGCTGCCTGTCCCCTCACAACAGGTGTCCTGGGAAGAAAACAGCACCGAGGACATAGGAGACACATGGAGAACATTTCTGGAATGGTGAGCAGATCATAAAATGTGACCATGGGTCCACAGCTCCTTCCTTCCTCCCCTGCTACATGCCACCCTCAGTCTCTGCTGCCTCCTTCCTTCCATGAGGGGCCCAGCCTAAGACAAGGAACACCTAGAAGCTTCCACAACTCTGCCCCAAATGCCTGCTTCCCCAGAGACCCACCTGCCACAGTTCCTGCTGCTCCTTCTCACCGTCCTTGACGCCCCCAGGGCTGGGTCTTCATACCTGGGCCTGAGCAGGGGGCATGGGAATGTCTCCGGAGACATACACACGGATATCTCCCTAGAATGTGAGAAACAAGTCACATGTTCATGTCCAGGCTATCTCTCATCCATTTCCTGGGAACCATGGCCATGAACTTCACACTTAAGGGCATGCTTTCATGTGTCATTGCTGCCAACCCCCAGACTCCCCAGCCTGGATGAGGTTCTCCAATGCCTCCTGAATGCAAATGAATCCCATCTGGGAATGAAAAAGAGAAAGCATTCTCCTTTCTCTTGCCTACATGTCCTATTCTTAAATCAGAGAGAAGTTTTCCTCCTCCCTGCGATGGGAACACTGGCTTTCTGTCACCTTCATCTGTCCCGATCCCTCCTTCTCATGTACATGTGCTGGCAGTCCAGAAACCTGGACCCTTCCCTGATTTCCTTTTATATCCCATGTTCAAGTCCACCTCCATAATGCTCTATCCAGTGGTGAGATGGAAAATGTTAAATAATCCATGCTCGGAAAGAAAAAGAAGCCTCATTTGTGGTCCTTGTCCACATCTGTGGTGTCTACACTCCCAATATGGTCAATTTCAAGCTGCCAACAGTTGAACAACTAGCTTGAAAAATTCCCGAAAGGCTCCGTGAACTCCATCTAGAATCTGCTCACTCCCGGGCTGCTCCCCCTGGTCCTGGCCACCAGCATCCCTTCCTGGACCATTACTACATCCCTAACAGGCTGTCCGGTGTCAGCCACAGTAATCCTATGGAAGTGGAAGTCAAACTGTATCCCTCCTCTGCTTCTTCCCCCCACAGATGTGCATGCCTCAGGCTCTCCCTCTTTCAGGATCTGCTGATATGTCATTTTATTTAAAGCACCTTCCAGGGGAGAAGAAGGGCGGAAATGGTGGGGGAAAGGGAGAGAGGCAAACCATGAGAGACTCTTGAATGCTGACAAAAACTGAGGACTGATGGATGTGGGGGGGAGGGGGGGAGGGGCAGGGAGGAACACTTATGGGGATTAGCACTGAGTGTTATGTAGAAACTAATTTGACAATAAACTATTTGTAAAAAAAAAAAAAAAGAAATCTAGACATGGATTAGAAATGATTGTTTTGTTCATGGCAGATAGGATCCACTTTCTTAAACAGGCTGCTGTTCCTGAGAAAAGTACCATAAATTCTGAGATGGAGATAACAGCCACAATAATAATAAAACCAAGACTTTATTCATCATATCTCTACCTTTTCATGTCTTGAGTATTATAGAAAATTGTTAACATTTTATGTATTAACTTGGTAAATGGGAACCTATTATTATAACATGTATTTTATAATATGCTAAAGGGTTTATTTAGCATAATAAAAATAGAGGTACATTTTAAAAAAATAAATAAATAAAATAAAGCACCTTCCATAAACCACCCACATAATATATCAATTCCACTCTCTCACTCTGTTTTCACAGCTCATCCCCAAATTGAATTGTTTCCCTAAAACTTAAGATCAGCTGACATGATAAATGGAGACAGAGCTCAGAGGACCAAAGCAATGACAGTGCAGCTGAAACCATGGGAAGGAGCTCAATAATCAGTGGGAAGAATAACAATTTTCTGTGTCCCTAAAAAACTTTTTTCAACACATTGGAAACCCTCCCGCTGTCAGTTACAAATATATAGGGACATGAAAAAACAGTAAAACTATTATTCATTTGGTATACGGTCATTTGAAACATTAGAAACTTTGAAAAGGGCACTTAGGCTCTTTCCATGTGGACGAGTGGATCAAGAAGATGTGGTTCATCTATACGATGGAATACTACATGGCAATGAGAAAGAATGAAATCTGGCCATGTGTAGCCAGAAATGGAGGGGGAAAGGGAGAGAGGCAAACCATGAGAGACTCTTGAATGCTGAGAACAAACTGAGGACTGATGGGTGTGGGGGGGAGGGGAGGATGGGCATGGAGGAGGGCACTTGTGGGGATGAGCACTGGGTGTTACATGGAAACCAACTCGACAATAAACTATTTGTAAAAAAAAAAAAAAAAAAAAGAAAGAAACTTTGAAAAGGGAAGAGTTTTTACTTGTCTGTAAAGACTTATCAAGAGTAGTTTACAGGGGCGCCTGGGTGGCTCAGTCAGTTAAGCATCTGACTTCAGCTCAGGTCATGATCTCACAGTTCGTGGGTTCGAGCCCCGCGTCAGGCTCTGTGCCAACAGCTCAGAGCCTGGAGCTTATTTCAGATTCTGTATCTCCCTCTCTCTCTGACCCTCCCCTGCTCATGCTGTCTCTGTCTCTGTCTCTCTCTCTCTCTCTGTTTCTGTCTCTCTCAGAAATAAATAAAACATTAAAAAAAAAAAAAGTAGTAGTTTACAGAGGGCTTGCTTTCCTCTGACCGCACAGTTGACGATATAGAGCAAGTGTCTGGATTATCTCCCTCCTCCCTCAATGGGGATCACCTTCCAACATTCTGCCCTTTGCATTTCCAATGCTGTGAAATCTTGACATTAAGGTGAATATTTTCTGGCATCACTTCCTCCGGGACATTGTCACCCTCCCCGCGCCCCTCCCCCCCGACACTTTCCTCAGTGACGTGGTAAATTTATGTTCACTCCTCTCCTCTGCCTGCATATCTAGACTCTGGGAACAGTATCCCCGGCAGCATTCCCATGAAGGTCTCTGTGCCTTCACGTACCCCACTCACATTCCATTTGAACTTCCCTTCCAGCCTCATCTCTTCTTGTTTCTCCACTGCACTTCCTACTTTGTGCCCATCCCCTTTCTGCAGTTATTTGCTGTTGTACAATGTCACCCGGGTTCGTCGCTGGGAGACCAGATTACACGATCACCTGCTCTGCTGTTGTGGGAAACTGAGTACCTGAGTCACAGTGATCTCCCCTACAGGCTTTGAGAGACATGATGCTTACTTATGTCATGTGCATCTGTAGTTGCGTAGGGATCTGTGGATGAAAGAAGACCTGGCAGCTAAGTGTATACTTCATGCGATTGTTCGTGGTAAACTCCCCACGGTAAATCAAATTTGAACCATGTGTTGGGGGGCTGATGCTATTTAACTAACCTGTGGCAACTGACATTTGTGCACATCAACACCTTACTTACAAAGTGAGAACTGCCTCTTCCTCAAGTAGGATGTCAACTCTGACAGAGAAGGGCCTCTGTGTCCTCAGGTCTCAGAACAATGACTACCATGTCTTAGCCATCACATTACAAAGTAAATAAATTAGTAAATACTTCACTGAAGACATCAGTTTCTACTAGATGTCAGATTTTAAAAGTTTTCTTTCTCTAATCAGCTGGTACATGTATCTAAAACCATGTGATTAAATATTACTCTGTCTTCTTTGTGTTTAAAAACTACATCATGGGGCACCTAGGTGGCTCAGTCGGTTAAGCGCCCAACTTCGGCTCAGGTCATGATCTGTGGCTCGCGAGTTTGAGCCCCACGTCGGACTTTGTGCTGGTGGCTCTGAACCTGGAGCCTGCTTCGGATTCCGTGTCTCCCTTTCTCTCTGACCCTCTCCCGCTCGTACTCGTACTCTGTCTCTTTCTCTCTCAAATAAAACATTAAAAAAAAAAAAAGTCTCAGATAATGTATGCAGATACTTCACTCTAGGGAGAGAACGCCTAACTCCCCATTCCTGAAGTGTGAGCTGCTTGCCGTGACTCCCTGCCAAAGAGGACAGAATGTTTCCAGTGGAGACAGCCGACAAATAAATAAAGCTCAGTCCGGTGATCATGGTTTCACCAGCAGTCATAAACTGCAGCGACATTGTGCACCCTGGATGTAATGTGATGAAAATGGCACTTTTCCTCTTTGAGCTTCCTCCCCAAGTCCATCACATGAGAGAAAAGTATTGGACAAACTGCAAAGAGGGATATTCCACAATATATCCAAGCAGCGCTCCTAAAAACTTCCAGACCATCAGGAACAAGCAAAGTCTAAGAAACTGCCCCTAAAGAGACATGACAAGAAAGTGTAATGTGGGATCCTGCATGGACATATGGTTAGAAACTAAGGAAATCTCCTCTGGACTGAATGTTTGTGTGTCTCCAAAGTTCAGGTGTTGAAATTTAATTCCCAGGGTGGTTGGATCTGGAGGTGGGTATTTGAAAGATAATTAGGTCCTGAGTGTAGAGTCCTCAAGAATGAGATCAGTGCCCTTCTGAAAAATACCAGACAGACAGCTCACCCACTGCACCCCGTGAGAATCCTGTAGTGGGCACTCTACAAATGGAAAGAGTGTTCTAATCACAATATCGTCTCCTAGCAACCTGATCTCAACGTCCAGCCTCCAGAACTGTGAGAAGTAAGTTCCTGGTGTACAGGGCATCCAGTGTAAGGTGTTTTCTTATAGCAGCCTAAGCTAAGATGAAACCTAAATGAACTACGGACTTTGTTTAATAATAATGTACCAATATGGGTTCATTAATTATAACAGATCCACTACACTACCGTGAGAAGTTAATAAGGAAGAAACAGTGTGCAGCTGTGTACTGAAGCTGTGTATGATTGTCACAAGTTCCTCTAACCTGTAAAATGTTTCAAAAAATTAAGTCCATTAAAAAAAAACCCACCTCAACGGCTTGTCCTCGACTTGATCTCTGCCTCTTGCAGCCCCTTGGGGAAAACTGCAAAGATGTAAGTGGTGGGGAGACTTTGTGTTTATCCCATTTCAGGTCTGGGATGTCTTTTCCTCTTTCCTCTGTCCTCTGCCAGAGTCATTCCAGAAACAGGGGCTCAGAGATCTGAGAAGGAGCTGCTTCTCAGTCCCCCAGGACATTCATCCTAAACTCTTCCAAGTGGTAAAGCCCAGGTTAGTTCACGGGTGGTCAGAGAACTCTGGGCCCCTAGGTGAGGCGGAGTGGTTCTAAGGACCTCAATAGAGAAGGCAGTTAATCCATGTGCTGAGCCCAAGCTCTATACATGGTGGATGCTGTGGCCTCAGGAGGTGGCCCTCAGCTGTCACCCTCTCTGGAATGGCCTTAGCTGAGAAGAGCTACCACACCCAAAGTCACACCTGGGACCTGCCACATCCAATGGCTCCTCAACATGGGGGTGTGAAGGCCCAGCCCTCCCACCCCAGCGCAGGATAACTCTGAGCTATCGTCCTAGCACCAGATCACACAGAAGATCCACTGAATCTTCACTGGGGCCTCAACGCAGTTCAACTTCTTCTAAACATTCCTACTCCCTTCTCCCTTCCATGGGTTTGATCCTAAAAGTACTCCCTGAAAATAACCTGCTTGTTAATATTCATATCAATACCTATTTCCCAAGGTACCCCACGTGGAACAAAGAGGCTGTTGTCGGTGCCAGAAAAGGTGGGATCCTTTGTCCCCAGGGGCCAAGCCAGTTATGGAAGGATGGATTGTTTACATTATCACATACCATATACCGTACACTACAACCCATATACCATACACCACATACCACAAACCATATACAATATGCCATATACCACATACCATATACCATATGCCATGTACCACATACTGCATATCATATACCAAACACTCTGACTACACAAGAGCAATGGGAAACCACAAACCTGTTTATGCAAAAAAAGGGATATAATCAGATCTGTGTTGTAGAAGACCACCATGGATGAAGGAGAATGTAGAGCTTAGACTGGGTAAAACAAGATGGAGGTAGCCTATTAGGAAGTCATAGTTTTCATTTAGGCAAGAGATGATGATGAAGATGGACAAATAGATTCAACAGGTATTTAGGAGGTAAAACAGGGCCTGTAGGAGGCAGACAAGAGTAGACAAGTGAAGGTGTAGAACATGGATCCCTTTGTGGTTTGACCAAATGGGTAGAGGATGTACCACATACTGAACAGGGTCGAGGGGGATAAGAGAATGCCCAGGTTCAGGCAGTTTTGAATATTTGAGCTATACAAATGAAAATTTCAAAGTCAAAGGATGTATAGGGGAGCCACCAAAAAGCGGATTCAGGATTGGAACCTTGACTGCATCTGGTTGTGAATCCAGTGCTCTTGACCATCAAGGCACTACAAATCCTAGTCAATGAAGAGCTTAGAGTCTGACGTAAAGTGTGAAGTCCACCGGAGGTAAACAGAAGGTTTAGATGCTGGAAAATGAAGATCCTGTTCTGTCCTCAACAGGAACCATGGATGGTCTCCCAGGAAGGAATTCATCATTCTGGAACAATGTGATACAATGGTGACATCACAAAGGACAGGGAGTCTTACCACCTCATACAGGCACTTCCATCCCCCTCCGCATTCTCCTCTTGTTCTAACACCTCTCTTGGCCTTAACATCCTGTTGATCTTTAAGAGGAGGTGGGGCTCACAAGGAAACAATAGTGAAATACCCCTAGCAGTCAGTGAATATGGATTCCTGGACATTAAAGGGTCAACGGCTGAGTGTGGGTTGAGACTCCCTGGAGACAATCTGTGTGCTTGGGTAGAGCCCATTCCAGAGGTGAGAGAGAAGGAAGCAAACATGCTGCTGCTTCTCTCTTTCTGAAAGTGTTTCTTGTGTCCCTCCACTCCTTTCCTCCAGAGCTGACCCAAGACCCAGCACAGACAGCAAGACAGCCCTCCGCTTCCCAGGTGTGTGTCTAGGTGTATTGCTTTCCCTCTTGGAGAGCGTTGCCCCAGCCTGTCTTCCTTGTAGCCCCCTCCATCTTCTAAAGGACAAATCTTCACAATCTCCAAAACTCTAACCTCCTTCCCACACCATGTCTCTGGGACCTCAAAAGTGGCAGGGGTGCAGGCTGGGGAGAACCTCAGATGGGACGAGGCTCAGGAATGAGCACAAGTCTGTGGGTTTCATGCTCTTAACTCTGGAAACCCCAGGCATTGCCAGCCATTTCTCAGCTTATAGCCACCTTGTCTGTTCAACAGATTGAGCCAACAAATCTCAAAAACAACCAAACAAAAAAAGTCCTATGGTCTTTCCTCTCATCACAATCCCCTTCCTCTGACATCATGGAAGCAGGGAGTGTCTTCTCTCCTCAGAGCAGGCCTCTCAGGACAACACTCAGACAGAGAAGGCTCCAGGGGCCATGAGGATGCCTGTCCCTTCCTCTCCACCACACCCACCTCTGCCCTCCCTCCTGCTGACTCTGCTTCTGGGATTCACACGTGAGTGGAACCTCAGATGTGTTTTGTGGGGGCTCCCCTAGGCCTGTTTACTGTATTCTTCTCACCTATTACCCCAGAATTTCTTGAGGGAGGGTTTTTTTGTCCCAGCCAGAATTTTTAAAACTAGATTGGAAAGGCTCCCAGCTCACAAAGTCTCCCAGTGGTCATGTCTGTTCCACGCCCTTTTGTTCAGGTAATGGCTACACCCCCATGGTCATAGGGCTCAGCACATCACATATGAGAGTTCTCATCCCTTAGCCCCTAGGATCAGAGAACCTGAGTTTTACACGTATTACCACTACGCAGATGCTACCTCTCAATGGAGAAAAATATGTTGGAAAACATGAAATTATAAAGCAAGGAAAGAAAGCACAGTCCTCCCATCCAAAGATAATCACTGTTAGAAATTTGCAGAGGCATGCATGCTTATGGAATTTAACCACAAGTGGTCACTAGAAAGAAGTCTCTCTGGGTCACTGATGGAAGCTGAAACTTGAAGGTTCAACAACAGGGCTGGACTTGGGGCGCCTGGGTGGCTTAGTTGGTTAAGCGTCCGACTTTCGCTTAGGTCATGATCTCACGGTTCGTGGGTTCGAGCCCCGCATCGGGCTCTGTGCTGACTGCCAGCTCAGAGCCTGGAGCCTATTTCAGAGTCTGTATCTCCCTCTCTCTCTGACCCTCCCCTGCTCAAGCTGTCTCTCTCTCTCTCTCTCCTAGAAATAAATAAAAATATTTTAAAAAAAAACAGGGCTGGACAGTTCTGCCTCTGCTTGCTGAAAAAGCTAAGCAAATATGTGAAGTCTCTTCCCCAAGGCCATTGGTTCATCTTAGCAGAGGTTTCAGTCCCAAGGCCAGAGCACATGGCTTCAGGGGTTCAGATCACATGAAAAAGGAAGCCAAGACCATTACCTGAATATAAGGAAGAGGAAAAAAACTTGGATAGGAAAGAGTGACATATATGAGACCCCCAGGTCCACTGGAGAATGTTAGTAAACGTTTAAAGAGAAATTAATACCAATTTTATACAATGTCTTCCAGAAAATAGAAGAGGGGGAAACACTTCCCTATTCATTTGATGAAGTTATTATTATCTTGATAGCAAAACCAGATAGGCTTTACATAAAATAGAAAACTACAGACCAATATTTCTCATGAATCTAAATGCAAGAATCCTCAACAGAATGTTGGCATATAGAATTTCACAATGCATAAAATTATATACCATGGCTAAGTAGGATTTATTCGAGGCATGCAGAGCTGTTTCAACTTTTGAAAATCAGTCATTGTCATCCATCACATCAAAGTAGGTTAAGGAAGAAAAATTGCATGATGATATCAATTGATGCACAATAAATATTTCACAAATCCAAAATCCATTCATGATGAAAACTCTCAGCAAACTATAAATAGCAGGGAACTTACTCTATTTGATGAAGAACATCTACAAAAAAACCCACAGTTATCATTATACTTAATGGTGAAAGACTGTATATGTATTTCCTAAGATAAGGATGTCCATTCTCACAACTCGTATTCAAAATAGTACTGAAATGAGAAAGAATGAAATCTGGCCATGTGTAGCAACATGGATGGACCTTGAGGGTGTTATGCTGAGCGAAATAAGTCAGGCAGAGAAGGACAAATATCATATGTTTGCACGTATAGGAGGATTAGGAGGAACTTGACGGAGGAACAAGGGGGAGAAGAAGGGCGGAAATGGTGGGGGAAAGGGAGAGAGGCAAACCATGAGAGACTCTTGAATGCTGACAAAAACTGAGGACTGATGGATGTGGGGGGGAGGGGGGATGGGCATGGAGGAGGGCACTTTGGGGATGAGCACTGAGTGTTATGTAGAAACTAATTTGACAATAAACTATTTGTAAAAAAAAAAAAAAACAACAAAAAACAAAATAGTACTGAAAGCTGTAGCAGAAAGAGGGACAGGAAGAAAGGAAGGGAAAAGAAGGGAAGGAAGGGAAAGGAAAAGAATGTAAATTGAAAAGGAAAAAATAAAACTTCCTTGTTTACAGATTACATGATTGTCTACATAGCAAATCCCAAAGGATCTACTAAAAAAAATACAAAAACAAAAAAACTCAGGATAGTAAGTGACTTCAGCAAGGAAACACTCAAAAATCAGTATATTCCCATCCACTAAAAACACACATGACCATTTATATTAGCACCCCAAAAAAGAGAGAAATACTTAGGTACAAATTTCATATAATATGGGAAGATCTATATACAAGATCTATATAAAGAAAGCTAGAGAACTGAACAAAGCAATCAAGAAAAAATAGAGATACATTCTATGTTCATGGATAGGAAGACTCAATATTGCCAAGATATCAGTTCTTCCCAATTTGATCTATGGATAAATGCAATTCCAGTCAAAATACCAGCAAAGTACAGATATTGACAAACTGACTCTAAAGTGTACATGGAGAGGTTAAAGACCCAGAATAGCCAACTCAACACTGGAGAAGAACATGTGAGAGGACTGACACTATTCTACTACAAGACTTACTAGAAAGTTCCAGTAATAGAAACAATGGCATTGGTGAGAGAATAGACACACCGAACAATGTAATAGAATAGGAAGCCCAGAAAGAAACTCACATAAATACAGCCAACTGATCTTTTGGAAAGGAACAAAGATAATCTTTTCAACTAATATTGCTGTAACAATTAGAGATCTGGACATCCATGTGCAAAAAAAAAAGAAAAAAAGATTCTAGATACAGCCTTCATAAAAATAATGTAAAACACAAAACTACAAAATTCCTAGAAGATATCATAGAAGAAAATCTAGACGATCTTTGATACAGAAATGACTTTTATTTATAAACAGAGTTCATATTTTAAAGCAGGTTTAAGTTCACACCAACATGGAGCAGAAGGTACAGAGATTTCCCTTACTATCCCCTGCTCCCACACATCACATCCTCTCCCATTATCAACATCTTCCACCAGGGTGTTACATATATTACAAACAATGAACCTGCACTGATATGTCATTAACACCCAAAGTCCATAGTGTCCATTATGGTTTACTCTTAGTAGTGTATAGTCTATGGGTTTGGACAAATGTATAGTAATATCCACCATTCTAGTATTTTACTGAATAGTTTCACTACCCTAAAACTCCTCCGTGCTCTATTTACGTTTTTCCACCCTAACCCCTGACAATCGCTGATATATTTACAGTCTCCATAGTTTTGCCTTTTCCAGGATGTCATTTGATTGGAGTCATGTAGTCTGAAGGCTTTTCCTGCATTAATGATAAGCTTTTAAGGTTCTTTCATGTCTTTTCAGGCCTTGAAAGGTCATTCCTTTTAGCACTGGATAATATTCTACTGACTGGATGTACCACAATTACTTTATCCATTTAACTACTGAAGGTCACCCTGGTTTACTTTCAAGCTCAGCAATTATAAATAGAGATGCTATAAACTATGAGGTGGAATCTGTTCCAGGCCTCACTCCTAACCTCTGGTAGCCTCAGATGGTCTTCACAGTGTACATGGCATCTTCCCTGTGACTTCACATCATCTTCCCTCTGTGCATTACAGATAGGCTAAGCTGTGCCTCAATCCGGGATCACACGAACTATGAAATAATATGTATTTTCTTAAGCCACTAGGTTTGTGGTCATTTGTTATTCAGAAAGCTCCCTTGTTTAGGGATACAGAAATGCTGATGCATAGGAGCACACGTACCCCAATGTTCATAGCAGCACTCTCCACAATAGCTAAAACATGGAAAGAGCCTAAGTGTCCATCAGCGGATGAATGGATCAAGAAGATGTGGTTTATCTATACCATGGAATACTACATGGCAATGAGAAAAAATGAAATCTGGACATATGTAGAAACATGGATAGAACTTGAGGGTGTTAAGCTAAGAGAAATAAGTCAGGCAGAGAAGGACAAATATCATATGTTTGCACATATAGGAGTATTAGGAGGAACTTGACGGAGGAACAAGGGGGAGAAGAAGGGCGGAAATGGTGGGGGAAAGGAAGAGAGGCAAACCATGAGAGACTCTTGAATGCTGACAAAAACTGAGGACTGATGGATGTGGGGGGGAGGGGGGAGGGGCATGGAGGAGGACACTTGTGGGGATGAGCACTGAGTGTTATGTGGAAACTAATTTGACAATAAACTATTTGTAAAAAAAAAAAAAAAAGAAAGCTCCCTTGTTTGTTGGAGCCTACTATGCTCCAGCCCATCCTCATATCGTGATGCAGAAAGAATGTATCTGCCCCCTTTCTGTACATCGGTCCCCTTCCCCTCATCCCATATGGGAACCCAAGTTGTAATTGTCATACTTTGGTGTCAGTATGTCATACATGACGCTAAAAGAGTATGTAATGAGACTCCACCTTGACCTAGAACCAGACCCTCAGAACATCTTGGGCCAAGACAACATGAGAAATGATGCAAAGTTTCTTTCCAGGAACTTCAGGTGAAGAGTTCCAGGTGAACCAGCCTGAGAGTTCAGTGTCAGTCAGAGCTGGAGACATCTTAACACTGGGCTGCAACGTGTCTGCTCCCTCCCCAGGAGGGCCTGTCTTGTGGTTCAGGGAGAATGGGCCAGAACGACGATTAATCTACAGTTTCAATGGAAGCCACTTCCCCCGAGTAAACCAAGTGGGAAAAACAGAGGTCAATCAAACAGACTATTCCATCCGCATCAATGATGTGTCACCCAAGGATGGGGGCACCTATTACTGTGTGAAGTTAACAATAGGGCACCCTGACATGGCGTATGTATCTGGCTCAGGCACCTATGTGTCTGTGAATGGTGAGTACGGTCTGACAACTTCATTCCCCTGGGTTTGTAAAACTAAATTCTTCAATATCTGAAACATGTACCAAATCATCACTACACGCTGGATACTGTGTCCCTTCATCCACAAATAGCCCTGTAGGCTGCGATTCTACACATGGCCCTTCTGTCAGTCTGGGGTCTTGTGCCCACTATTGAATCAAGCCATGTGAGAGACCAGGTCCTTCACTGATGGCCCAGCCACCAAAACCTGAACACAGAGATACTCCAAAATAAAAAGATATTCAATAGATAAAATGCAACTACATGTGTTCACTTCGTGGTCCAAACACTTGGTGAAATGGGCTTAGAAGTCTGAGTGGCCTTTCTGAGGTTTAGTGACAAACTTGAGCTCAAGAATATGCTTTGTGTCTATTGTGGCTGATATCATGACTCTAAGCATCAGTCGCAAACAGTTGTAACTACATATTAGCTTCTAGATTTGGATGGAATTTCAACACGGTTGAAGTTAGCCCCCAGCCTAATATCTCCTGAACCTCTACAAGCCTGCACAATTCCACTCGCCCATTTCTAACAGGAATGTCATTGGGACCTGGTGGCAGGTCCCTGAGCAGCCATCACAATGCAGTCAGGGACTTCATTCCCCACACAGGAAGTCCTCGAGGGAGAGTAGTCTCCTACTATGGCTTCTGGGGAACCTGGAGACCAATGGGAAGGTTACTGTGTGTCACTCACTCCCAGGTCTTGTTTGGAAAAGCTGCCCTGGAGGGGTCAAGTCACTCTCCTGACACTTGACCCTTCCCTGGTCTACCCTCAGCTCTGCTGTTCTCTTATTCTCTGAGGACAACCAGTGTTTCTGGCTCCTTCCTACTCTCTGAGTCAAGTCCATTAAATACAGTGAGATTAGGGTATCCATCTGCTCTGCTAGGGAAGCCAGTCTTCCCCAGTAATGTTCTCCTCAAGTCCACCCACATTCTATGCCATCCAACTGGCCGTGGAAATTTTACATATTTCCCTCAAGCTAGAAACTGTGTGTGTAGGCAGCTTACCTGCTTTCTCTCCCAGCCTCACCAGCCAGAGTTCCCTTGTCTCTCTAACCTGCACCTTACCCCATTAGCGATTTTGATGGTTTGCCAACCTGAAAGGAGAGATACTACCAGGACCTGACACAACATGTCGTAGTGATGTTGATGGTCATGAGTGTTGAGGGTCAGTCATGGCCCCTTCAAAATTGACAAGGTCCCCCCCCAAAAAAATTGACAAGGTCCCTTGAGGCTCTACTCTCTTTTGTTGAGAAGAGGAAACTGTCTCTCTCTTCTGTCTTGAGCGATAAGCAGTGGCACCATACCCTGCCTGCAGGCACATACATTAATCCTAAATGCCCCCTGATTCTTTAGGTTTGCTCTCTCTTGACTACCCCTTTCTCCACACCTGTCAGCACTAATATCTCCACACATTCAGTGGCTGTTCACCCTTCAGAAAAAAGAGGAAGATCAATCTCAAACTCACTGTAAGTGTGAGGTGGGCAGAGGGTACTTGGACCCATCTCCAAATGTATTGAGTGATCTTTGGCATTTAGATCGGGGAGGGATTCGTCTCTCTCCGTGAACACTATCAATTCATAATCTCAGTCTTCTTCCCTGTCCTGTTACCTGGTCAGGGCCTGAGACACGGAACTGGGGATACATCTGATCCTCTGCACTGACAACCCCCCCCCCCCGCCTCAGTCAATGAGATCGGGAGCTTCCACCACTTGCAGAGGTCTCTCTAAACTCAGTCAGTGTGTTCTCACATGTGTCATTAAAAGAACTAATGAATGAGGTCCAACCAAGATCTAGATCCAAGTTCTCCCATCCTGTCTAGGCCAGAGCGTGGGAAGCAGGAAATGATTTGAGTCTCTCTGCAGGATCCTCACGTGAAACATCCCAGGTGCAACAAGCAGAGATGACACAGACTGTATCAACTGGAGACACAATCACCTTGAGCTGCAGTGTACCAGATTCATTACCGCAAGGACCTGTCTTATGGTTCAAGGGAACTGGGCCAAGCCGGAAATTAATCTACAGTTTCAAGGGAGGTCTCTTTCACAGAGTAAAAGAAATTGGACGCACCACCAAAGCTGGCAAAACAGACTTTTCCATCCGCATCAGTGAAATCTCTCATGCAGACGCTGGCACCTACTACTGCGTGAAGTTCAAGGAGGGGAAACCTGACATGGAGTTCCAGGCAGGTCCAGGCACCAAGGTGTTTGTGACCAGTAAGTTTGTCTCTTCCTGTCTGTCCCTGTTATGGGCTGCTGTCTCAGTTAACCAAGTCCTCTATTCATTGAACAACTAGATTATGCTAAATATTATTGAAGGTGCAGAATACATTGTTCTGTCATGCTCTCAGCAATTGTGAATTAAGTGTTTTCCTGGAAGAGAAACAGACTCAGAAAGGTCAATTGAGTGATGCAGGATATTTTGGGTGACATCCCAATATTCAACCCATCCCCAATAGCTAGACTAACCCAATTAAGGTTAATTTCATGACTCTCTACCAGTGATTAACTCAAATATGAGCCTGTCTTAAGCCAGGTTGGGTACCTAAGAGAAAAGAACAGGTTTGCAGAGAAACCTGGGAAACTAATGCAATTCTTTTTCCTGTTGGCTAGGAACAAGCAATCATTTTGGCCCAGGTGCTCCAGAGAGACATCTTATGACCATGAGGGGAACCAAGCTGAGGAAAAATCTGCTCTAGAGAAGTTCAAAGATGTAAAGAATGTGGGTTGACAACATGGCGCGGCCATACCATTCCTGGTTCTAACCCCACTTCTGGACCTCCATGTTATGGGAGAAAAAACATCTCCTTGTTAAGCCAGTTTGCTCAAAGTCACTATCCTAAGGGATGCCAGGTGATAAAGTTTCCACATCCACAGGGCACTAAAGTACAATTTCAAATCATGTTTTTTGCTGTTCCTAAAGCCTTACTTCTTAATTTTATTTTTCTATTTTGTCATAATCGCTGAACTCTGAGCAATACCCAGAGTGAGAAATGATTAAATTGGTGACATTACAACCCTATTTGTTGGCATCTTCTATATACCAAGCGTCTACCTTTCCCATATTATTGTATTTACCTACCTAGCAACTTGAGTGTAAGAAATATTTTCATTTTGTATCGATGAGAAAACTGAGGCTCAAGAGGAATCAGGGGTACAGGTAGTAGTAGAAAGAGGTGACGTTGGTCTGGGCTCTCTCTCTTCACTTTACGTGTGAGTGAAGAGCCTTTCCTTACAAGAGATACAAACCTAAAACATTATTTTAAAGGGGTCCTGTAGCTGAGAAGCATTCTAGGTTCCTCGCAGCACCCAAGGCAAAGCTTTAGGAATAAGGACTCAGTGCCACCATGTTTCTTACTCTTTTAAATTCTCTCATTTCTATTCATCTCTGCCTGGCTTTGTCTCTCTTGATGCACACAGGCCTTATCTATATAATGGAAGAGGTAAGTATCAAAAATGTTGACATTCATTACATCATCTTAAGGAGTCAGGATGGGAAGAGAGTTTCTTCTTCCCAGCTTCCACAAATGAATCCCAGAGAATCATTTGAAATCGCCCGGCTTATGCCTTTCACTCACTCATTATTACAAAGGTGAGGAGGTGCTACGTAGGGAATCCATCAACCCAATGAAATGAATATTCAACAGACTAAAAACAATGTACGTCCATCCCAAGGTCCAAGCCCTTCATTAACATATGAAGAAGTTGAGGGGCGCCTGGGTGGCTCAGTCGGTTGAGCATCCGACTTCGGCTTAGGTCATGATCTCATGGTTCGTGGGTTCGAGCCCCACGTCAGGCTCTGTGCTGACAGCTAGCTCAGAGCCTGGAGCCTGCTTCTGATTCTGTGTCTCCCTCTCTTTCTGACCCTCCTCTGCCCATGCTGTCTGTCTCTCTCAAAAAAATAAATAAAACATTTTTTAAAAATTTAAAAAAAGAAGTTGAGACCCAGAGACTAGGCTTACCTAAAGCCACACAGGCAATGGTTAATAGAACTCAGATCTCTTACTCCCATAATCCTTGGGTTAAAGGTTTTATCTTCTTCCTAATAAGAAGATTCTAGTTCAAGAGGGGCTATAGATGTGCATAAAGATGATTTAGGAAAAAAGAATATTGTGAATGAGTTCAATCTCCCTATTAAAAGCCAAAGAGTCAGAAATGTATTCATTTCTACCATTTCTACATAATAAATAAAAAGCACATATACACACAGTTTTGAAATGCTGAGCTGAGGATAAGTTTGCTGTGGTTGCTGTAACTGTCACACACTCCAGGGTTTACAACAGAAATAATCCTACGTGGGTGGTATGACAATGTGAGGAGCTCTGTGGTTCTACTCCCAGTGATACTGGTGAAAATTATTTTTCTTTCAATCATTTAGAGCAGTGACATCAGCAAGATGAACAGACTAGGAAGTCCCCAACCCTTCCTTTCCCATGGACACAACCAAACAGCAACTGTCTATGGGCCACAATACCTTGGTAAGAACGTTATAGAAACCAGGTGAGAAGCAGCAGCCCCAGGCCAATGGAAAACCAGGAAGGGATTCCAGTGGAAGCTGTACGAAAGTTTGCGAGGGTCTGTACACTCATACCCTACCCCAGGCTGGTATGGTGGCACAATGAAGGAGGAAACCTCCCATACACGCTTCACCATCAGGAAGGAAATAGAACAGATCATACATCAAACACTCTGGATTGTCTGGGGGCTGTCCAAGCGGATGGTTTCCCTCTCATCTGATTCAGAGCACTAAAAGGGACAGCAGTGCAGTTTAGAAGTGCTGAAAACAGAGACCATTCAAGTGGCTTATTAGAGCTACACACGTGATGCAGTTCCTCAAGAAGACACCAGGGGGGGTTAAGAGATTGTCATCTCCTGAGAAGAAAAGGCAAACTGCTTAGAGAATTTGAGACCGCTAGAAAAAACCATACACAAGCCCAGAGAAGTTACATTCCCCTCCCCCCCAAAACGCTTGAAAGGTCCCAGAACTACTTGCCAGGCTAACTTGAGGAAGGTATTCTCCTGCATTAAGCCAGTCCCCAAAATGGTGGTTATCTTACACTGTGATAGCAAAATACCACAGACTGAGTAGTCTATAAATAATAGAAATTTATTTCCTACAATTCTGGAGGCTGGAAGTTCAAGATTATGGCACTAGCATGGTCAGGTGAGGGCTCTTTCTGGATCACGAAATTTCTCATTGTAGCTTAACATGGCAAAAGGGATTAGGGAGCTCTACAGGGTCTCTTTTATAAGGTGCTAATCTCATTCATAAGGGGTCCACTCTCATGACCTAAGCACCTCCTGAAAGCTCCACCTACTAATATCATCACCTTTGGGGAGTAGAATTTCAACATACGAATTTGGGGGAGGATGCAAACATGGTTTTTCAGATGCCAAAATCTCACAAAAAGAGCAAAGGGCATACAAAGAACCAGGAAACCATGGCCCAATGAAATGAAAAAATATAAAACTCCAGAAGTCCACCCCTAAAGAAACTCAGATTGCTGGACTTCCTGCCAACTAACTCAAAACAACTATGTTACAGCTACTCAGTGCACTACAAGAGAACACAGATAACCAATGAAATGAAATCAAGAAAACAAATTTTAAAAAAAGAAACGAAAACAGCATATGAGAAAAATGAGATTATCAACAAAAAAGAAACGATAATAAAGAACCTAACAAATTCTGGACCTGAAAAATACAATAGTGAACTGAATATTTACCAGAGAGGTTAAACAACAGACTTGATCAGGTAGGAAAAACAATCAGAGAACCTGAACACAATTCATTTGGAATCATTGAGTCACAAAAGAAAAAAGAGTAGAGAAAGTGCAGACAACCTAAGACATTTATGTTATCATCAAACAGATCAATATACACATTATAGGAATCCCAGAACGAGAAGTGAGAGAGAAAGAAGCAGACCACTTAGTTGGGAGTAAGGGGGGAGATGGCCCCAAATCTTTCCAAATCTGAGGAAATAAACTGACATATAAGTTAAAATAACTCCAACTAAAATAAATCCAAAAATACCCACAAGGAGAAACATTATAATCAATCAACTGAAAGTCAAAGACAAAGAGAGGACCTTGAAAGCATCAAGAGAATAGCAACTCATTACATACAAGGAAGCTTTTGTAAGATTATTCGTGAATTTCTTGGATGAATCCATGCAACCCAGAAGGCACTAGGATGATATATTCTGATTGCTGAAAGAAAAAAATCTGTCAACCAAAAACAGTATATCCAACAAAACTGTCCCTCAAAAACGAAAGAGATATTGAGACTTCCCCAGTTAAACAAAAGTAGAAAGAGTGCATTACCACTAGAGTTGCCCTGTAAGAATGCTAAAGGGAATCCTTCAAGTTTAAATGAAAAGAAAATGGACAGCAGAAGCGCCTGGGTGGCTCAGTCGGTTGAGGGTCCAACTTCAGCTCAGGTCAGGATCTCACAGTTTGTGAGTTCCAGCCTCGCATGGGGCTCTGTGCTGACAGCTCAGAGCCTGGAGCCTGCTTCAGATTCTATGTCTCCCTCTCTCTGCCCTTTCCCCGCTCACTCTGTCTCTCTCTCTCAAAAATAAATAAACTTTGAAATTTTTTTTTTAAAAAGAGGGGCACGTGGGTGGCTCAGTCAGTTAAGTGTCGGACTTCGGCTCAGGTCATGATCTCATGGTCTGTGGGTTTGAACCCTGCATCAGGCTCTGTGCTGACAGCTCAGAGCCTAGAGCCTGTTTCAGATTCTGTGCCTCTCTCTCTGCCTCTCTCTTTCTCAAAAATAAATAAACATTAAAAATATTTTTAAAAAATTTTTTGAAGAAAAGATACTAGACAGCAAAATAAAGCTATACAAAAATATAAAGTTCTCCAGTAAAGGAAAGTACATGTACAAATATAGTAATCTGTATTATTGTAATTTTGGTGCATAAGTTCACTTTCAATTCTTGTATACAATTTAAGTGAGAAAAACATAAAAAGCTATAAATCTATAATGAGTATACGATATATAAACTTGTAATCTGTGACATTAGTAACAAAGTCGGGGTGACAGAAATGTAAGTGGTGGCATTTCTGTATGCAATTCAAGTTATCAATTTAAAATACATTGTTATGGGGCGCCTGGGTGGCTCAGTCAGTTAAGCGTCCGACTTTGGCTCAGGTCACGATCTCAGGATTCGTGGGTTCCAGCCCCATGTCGGGCTCTGTGCTGACAGCTAGCTCAAAGCCTGGAGCCTGCTTCAGATTCTGTATCTCCTTCACTCTGATCCTCTCCTGCTCCTTCTGTTTCTCAAAAATAAATTTAAAAATTCTTAACATTTAAAAAAAATACATTGCTCTAACTTTAAGGTATTTTTGCAATGGTAACCACAAGGGAAAGGTCTATAAATATAGACAAAACAAAATGAAAAATAAATCAAAGGATGCCACTACAAAATCAATGAAAAACAAAAGAAGGCAGTAAGACAGGAAAGGGCAAAAAATGTACAAGCCATGCAGGAAACAATGAACAAAATGACTACGCTTAAGTCCTTCCCTATTAGTAACTACTTTGAATGTAAATGGATTAAACTTCCTAATAAAGATATAAATTGGCTAACTGATTTTCTGTTCAATGTGGATCCAACTATAAGCTATCTATAAAAGGCTCATGTTACATCTAAAAACATAGGCTGAAAGTGAAAGGGAAAAAGATGTTCTATGCAAATGATAACCAAAAGAAAGCATAAGTGGCTATTCTGATATCAGATAAAATAGACTCTAAATAAAAAATCTGATACAACTAACAAAAAGGACATTAGGTAATAATAAAAAGGTTGACTCAACCAAAAGTATATAAAAATATTTATTCACCACACATCAGATCTCTAAATTTTGGATGCAAATATTGACCTAATTGAAGGGAGGAATAGATACACAATAAGAGGGCCCTGCCCTAGAAACTTCTCCATGGAGGTTCTCTGACTCAAGCAATGTGAGGGACGAGGGTGTCTATTGTGTCTGCCATGCCTAAGTCACCT